CTAAATTAGAAAAAATAAAACCCATCTATACACTGCCTACTAGAAACATACTTCACCAGCAAAGATACACACTGACTGAAAGTCAAAGACATTACATAACAATGGAAAAGAAAAATAAGCAGATGTAGGCACATAATAAAAGACAAACTTCAACATAATAACTGTTAAAAGAAGGAGACCCAGTGTGGTAGTCTAATGGCTAAGCCCTTGCCTTGCATGCGCCAGGATCCCATATGGGCACAAGTCCGTATGGGCCGCCCACTTCCCATCCAGCGCCCTGCTTGTGGCCTGGGAAAGCAGCCCAGAATGGGCCAAGTTTTTGGGACCCTGCACCCATGTGGGAAGACCCGGAAGAAGCTCCTGGCTCTTGGCTGCTGACTGGCTCAGCTCTAGGTGTTGTGGCCACTTGGGAGTGAATCAGTGGATAGAAGATCTTTTTCTGTCTTTACTGCTCTCTGTAAATCTGACTTTCCAATAAAGATAAAATCTTAAAAAAGAAAGAAATGAAGAAGAGCACTACGTAATGATCAAGGAATCAATTCAAAAGTACTGACTGTAGCAAATCTATATGCACCGATGCCAGGGCACTGGGTTACTTAAAGCAAACTTTTAAAGATTTGTTTCTTTTCATTGGAAAGGCAGATATATAGACAGGGGGAGAGACAGAAAGATCTTCCATCCACTTATTCACTCGCCAAGTGGCTGCAACTGTCAGAGCTGAGCCAATCCAAAGCCAGAAGCTTCTTCTGGTCTCCAGTGAGGGTGCAAGGTCCCAAGGCTTTGGGCCTTCCGAGTGCTCTCCCAGAACATAGGCAGGAACCTGGAAGGGAAGTGGAACAGCCAGGATATGAACTGGTGCATGTAAGGCGAGGACTCCAGCCACTAGGCTACAGAGCCGGGCCCTTAAAACAATGAACAAATCTTAGAAGAGATATAGACTTCAATACAATAATAATGAAGGATCTCATCATTTGATAAATCCACTAGACCAAACACCAACAAAGAAATAAATAACAGAGTTAATCTATTCTACGAACCCAGATGGACATAATGCTATCTATAAAAAATTTCATGCCACAGATGCAGAACACACATTTTCATCACTTCATGCAACCTATCCTAGGACAAACTGCAAGCTCGGCCATAAAACCCTGAAATCAACTCAACAAATGAGAAAACAGGCAAGAATATGGAACTGAACAACGTATTGCTGAACAGTGGGTCACACGAGAAAGCGAAAAAAAAAATTCCTGTAAACAACATGACAGCACAATGTATAAACTTATGGGATACAGTAAAAGCAGAGTTAAGAGGGATTTTGATAGCAGTTAGAGCCCACATAATAAAATATCAGAAAGGCATCAAATAAATGACTTATCGATATAAATCTGCAAAAACAAGTCAAAACTAAAATTAGAACGAAATAATATAGTAAATAGTCACAATTGAAACAAACAAAATACATAAGATCAGTTAATTGAACAGCAAGTTTTTAAGAAATATAAACAAAACTATATACCATTAGTGCAGCTACCAAAAAGGGGGGGGGGGAATGGAGACACAAACTGGGAAAATATAATAGCATAGATATAAAAAGAATCATCAGGAATTAATACAAGCAGCTCTATGCCAACAGATTTAGAAGAAATGGACAATTTGTGGACATATACAATATACTTAAATTGAGTCAAGATGACATAGATAACCTAAACAGACCAGGAACTACCACTGAGACTAAATCAGAGATAAAATACCCTTGGAACAAAGAAAAGCTTAGACCAGACAGATGGCTTCACTGCTGAATTTGTTCTTAAGAGATTTATTTTTATTGAACCAGAAGATTTACAGAGAAGAGAGAGAGAACAATCTTCCATCTGCGGGTTCACTCCGCAAATAGCTGCAATAGCCTTAGCTGAGCCAGTCCAAAGCCATGAGCTAGGAGATTCTTCTGGGTTCTCCACGCAGGTGCAGGGTCCCAAGGCTTTGGGCCATCCTTGACTATTTCAGGCCATAAGCAGGGAGCTGGATGGGAAGTGGAGCTGCTGGGATCAGAACCAGTGCACAGAGGGGATCCAGGCGCATTTAAGGCGAGGACTTTAGCTGCTGGACCACGGCATAGGACACGACATGAACAATCTTTTCTTGAGTGATGAAATGTAAAAGGCCCACAGACATGAAAAAATGCTCAGGTTCACTAGTCATTAGGGAAATGCAAATGAAAACCACAATGAGGTTTCACTTTACCCCATTTAGAAAGTCTGTCATCTGTAAATCAAAACATATTTCAAAATAATCTGCCATATAAGCCAGCCATCCCACTCCTGAGAATTTATCCAAATACAGTGAAATCAGCATGAACAAATGAACCTGAACCTCCATATAAACAGATTGTACAAAATTTGTAATAAAAAGATTATTAAGGGCCCCGTGCGGTGGCACAGTGGTTAGGGTCCTCGCCTTGCACGCCCGGGATCCCATGTGGGCGCTGGTTCTATCCCGGCAGCCCCGCTTCCCTTCCAGCTCCCTGCCTGTGGCCCGGGAAAGCAGTCGAGAATGGCCCAAAGCTTTGGGACCCTGCACCCGCGTGGGAGAACAGGAAGAGTCTCCTGGCTTCAGACCAGCATGGCATCGACCATTGCGCTCACTTGGGGAGTGAATAATCGGATGGAGGATCTTCCTCTTTGTCTCTCCTCTCTGTATATCCGCCTTTCCAAAAAAAAAAAAAAATTATTAAATAATTCCCTCATAATTAGTTAAACCAGTAAAATTACTTCTAGGTAAAAATAAGCATATAATTTAAAATCACAACCTTTCTGGGCCTGGCACAGTGGCCTAGCAGCTAAAGTCCTTGCCTTGAACGCGTCAGGATCCCATATGGGTACAGGTTCTAATCCTGGCACCCCGCTTCCCTTCCAGCTCCCTGCTTTTGACCTGGGAAAGCAGTCAAGGACAGCCCAAAGCCTTGGGACCCTGCACCTGCGTGGGAGACCCAGAAGCAGCTACTGGCTCCGGATTGGCACAGCACCGGCCATTGTGCTCACTTGGGAAGTAAATCACCAGACGGAAGATCTTTCTCTCTGCCTCCCCTCCACTGTGCATATCTGACTTTGCAACAAAAATAAAATAAATCGTTAAAAAAAAAAAAACAAATCTTTTAAAAAAAAGCACAACCTTTCTCTGTTGAAATCTTGCCTATGGTAGATAACAGGAAGCCTAAATAATATAGGATTTCCATATGCAAACACCAATCCCTACTAACATGCCTAGGAAAGCAGTGGAAGATGGTTCAAGTTGCTCTGTCCCTGGACCCACATGGGAGATCCGGAAAGTCAAGGCTACTGGCTTTGGACCAGCCCAGCTCTGCCTAGTACGGCCATTCGCGGATTGAACCAGCAGACAAATCTCTGTCTCTCCTCTCCAACTCTGCTTTTCAAATTAAAATAAATATTTAAAAATACGTTGATGTGCACCTTGTGAGACAACAGATGATGGCCAAAGTAGTTGGGTCCCTGCTACCCCTGTGGGAGACCCGGACTGAATTTCCAGACCCAAGATTGGTGTGACCCAGCCTCAACTATTGTGGGCATTTGGGATGCATGACAGAGGACAAATCTGTCTCTTCATCTTTGTCTCTCTCTGCTTCTCATATAAAATAGAAACACAGAAAGTTTAGAGAACTAAGGCAAAAATAAAACCCACTCATATTCTTATCACTCAAAAATAATGCTAATATCTTACTATATTTCTCCCATGTACTATCTTTACATAAATTTCCTAATATGCAGGACTGGCACGATAGCATAGCAGTTAAAGTCCTCACCTTGAATGTGCCAGGATCCCATATGGGTACTGGTTCTAATCCTGACAGCTCCACTTCCCATCCAGCTCCCTGTCTGTGGCCTGGGAAAGCAGTCGAGGACAGCCCAACGCCTTGGGACCCTGAACCCGCGTGGGAGACCCAGAAGCAGCTCCTGGCTCTGGATTGGCTCAGCTTCAGCCACTGCAGTCACTTGGGGAATGAACCATCAGATGGAAGATCTTTCTGTCTCTCCTCCTCTCTGTATATCTGACTTTGTAATAAAAAACAAATAAATCTTTTAAAAAATAATAATAAACAAAAAATTTTCTTATATGCGCATGCTAAAAAGCAAAAATCAGGGTGTGAGCATTTAGCTTAGTGTTTAAGGTGGCCTCAATTCCACATCTAAGTACATGGGTTCAATTCCTACCTCTGATCCCAGCTCTAGCTTCTATCTGAGGTCATAGTAATTAGGTTTATGCCACTCGTGTCGAAGAGCTGCGTTTGAGGTCCCAGGTTACTAGCTTTAGCCCTAATCCAGTCCTCACTGCTTTAGGCATTTGGGGAATGAATTCAGCAGGAATTTAGCTTAGGGTTAGTTAAGATACCAGCACCAACATTAGAGTGCCCAGCTTTGGTTCTTGGCTCTGCCTTGACCCGATGCAGATTCTGGGCGGCAGCAGCAATGCTGACGTGCACTGCATTGTTGCCCCCACGTGGGAGACCTAGGTTAAGTTCCTGCCTTAGGCTCAACCCAGCCCCAACCTCAGTGTACTTAGGGATGAAGCAGCAGACAGGAGCTTTATCTCAGTTTCTCAAATAAAAAATAAATAAATGGATAAAAACAAGCAAAAATCACACAGGTCTATGTTCACAAACGTTTGCGAGCACTTTATCTGTAAATACCCTATTTCAATGACTGCATTAAGTATTTCTAAGATACAGATTATAATATACAAAAAGCAAAAGCATAAACCAGTTACTGCTGGAAATAGTATAAATTGACCGTCAATTTTACACTTATCTCAAATTCTATAACAATAAAATTCATGGAATAATGGATTTAGGCAAGGAGGTGTACACAAAATAAGAAAACTGTTTTGTCAAACAAGGTGACCAGCTAATGAGGAAGATCACCTTTTGCTATACCCTTCTGTACTGTCCCTCCAGTGCCTTCCTAGATTACATAAACTGTACTCACCAGAATTTTATCAGCTTTTGCTTCGCTAATTCCTTTAATATTTATTAGCTCCTTCTTTGGTGCATAGGCAACAGCTTCCACAGTATGAAATCCAGCTTCTTCCAATTTCTTCACATCATTGGCATTTATACCACATTGCTGCAAATAAAGAAATCCAGGGGTAAATTGGAGATTTGGCTGTCTCATCTTTACAACATGGATACCATGTGCTTTACCTACTTAACAAAGTATCTCAAGAACTGTATTCATGTAACAGTTCTAAGAAGTGCACCTTAATAACAAATTATTAAAATAGTAGTTCAAAACTAGCGCTATGTCATTTACATTAAAGTGAATTTCTCTCAGGAATTGGGAAGACACCAGTTACCAGGGTCCTAAAGGGCCACTTGAAACCAGTGTCTCCTCACCCCCTTTATACATTAAAAAACACACACACATACATACAACTTGGTGTCTTTTTTTTTTTACAGTATTTTTTTTAAAGATTTATTTTTTAATTTTTATTGGAAAGGCAGATATACAGAAAGCAGAGACAGAGAGGAAGATCTTTCGTCTGATGATTCACTCCCCAAGTGAGCGCAATGGCCGATGCTATGCCGAGCTGAAGCCAGGACTCTCTTCCCATGCAGGTGCAGGGTCCCAAAGCCTTGGGCCATCTTCGACTGCTTTCCCGAGCCACAGGCAGGGAGCTGGATGGGAAGTGGGGCTGCTGGGATTAGAACCGGCGCCCATATGGGATCCCGGGTGTGCAAGGCGAGGACCCTAACCACTGCGCCATCACACCGGGCCCTTTTTACAGTATTTCAAGATGTACAGATAAAACAGCTCCAGAGCTGAGGAGAGCACTATTCAGGTACCCCTTTTGGTCAAATAATTGGAATGTTATACTGTAACCACCAACACTGACATTGGTGAGGGGATGGCATTGTAAAGTCAGCTACCTGCAATGCCAGCATCCCATGCGGGTAAGTTTTGTGTCCTGTTATCCTATATCCAATCCAGCTCCCTGCTAAAGCACCTGGGAAAAGTAGAAGATGGTCCACATGTTTGAGCCCCTGCCACCCTGATGGAAGATCCAGAAGGTAGAGTGCTGGTCGTTACAGCCAACCAGGAAGTGACCCAGTGAGTGGAAGAGCTGTCTCTCGCTCTTTCTGAAACTAACTTTCTAATAAATAAACCAATCTTATAAAAAGAATGGCAGGAGCTGGCATGGTGGCATAGCAAGTTGAACCTCACAATTGCACTGGCATCATAAGGGTACCAATTTATGTCCTGGTTTCTCCAGTTCCGATCCAGCTGCCTTCCAATAGCTTGAGAAGGCAGCTGAGGATGACCGAAGGTCCTGGACTCCCTGGATTCACGTGGGATACCCAGAAGAAGCTCCTGTCTCTCAGCTTCGGACCAGCCCAAATGTGGCAATAGCAGCCATTTGGGGAGCGAACCAGCAGATGCAAGATCTCTCTCTCCTGCTCTCTCTGTAATTCTGACTTTCAAATAATATAAATAAATCTTAAAATCTATTCGGTAACTTACAGAGCCCTGCAGCTTCACTGGAGATAGGAGAAATGCACAAAAGGAGACCTAAAAACCCAGCCTTTCTCTGCATTCCCCTACTTTCTTCAAGCCCAAGTCTGCTGCACTTGCTCCAGGCCCTTTGTATGACAGGCAGAAATAGTGCAGGGCCCCAGCTGTGCGGTGTGATGTTCCCAGGTAACATTCAAACCTGGAGCTTGCCTCTTACAGCTTCCATAACGCCCAGCCATTCTTTCTTCCTGTGATAGCTGCTTCACTAGGAACTCACTAGGAACTTCAGCAGAGATCTCGGTCAGTGGAGGCACGCTGCTCCCCTCTGTGCCCTGCATAAATGATCCAAGCTACAGTAATCCCTTAGACAGAAATTTCAGACTTCAAAGAGCCTGAAGACTCAACCATAGGACCCTAGGTCTTATTTTCTGATAATTCAGCTCTGGGAAAGGAAAACGGCAAAGGAGGAACAAAATCATTGACAAGAGAGATCTGACCCTGTGCTTAACAACAATCAAGTCTTTATAGGACCCCTGACGATTTCATTTGGGTCTTGACTTAGTAATAAACCTATGTTTATATAAAGATTGTGGCATTTCCTATTAGGAAGAAGAACCAGCAGATCAATGTAACTCAGATTTAGCAAGCTAGGCTAGGTCTCAACCCCTACAGAGCCATGTGTGAGCTGTATGTGGGTATGGACGAGCCATGGCTGGGCTGAACCATCCAACAGCAAGGACCAGTCTGGGTTGAAGGCCAGTCAGGAAAAGCCACTGTTCCTGCTAGGACAGGAGGTGAACTGAGTAGGGCTGGCTCATGGAACCCCTGGTATGCGCAAAATCTGGCATTGGAAGAGGTTCTGATGGAGGAGCCTGGGCAACTCCTCTGGCAGGACACAGACCCGGCAAGTAAGTGCAAGAAGCATGATAGGAGGGGCCCGGCAGCGTGACCTAGCAGCTAAAGTCCTCGCCTTGAACGTACCGGGATACCATATGGGTGCCGGTTTTAATCCCGGCAGCTTCACTTCCCATCCAGCTCCCTGCTTGTGGCCTGGGAAAGCAGTCGAGGACGACCCAAAGCTTTGGGACCCTGCACCCAATGGGAGACCCGGAAGAAATTCCTGGATCCTGGCTTCAGATTGGCATAGCATCGGCTGTTGCGCTCACTTGGGGAATGAATCATCGGACGGAAGATCTTCCTCTCTGACTCTCCTCCTCTCTGTGTATCTGACTTTCCAATAAATAACTAAATCTTAGGAAAAAAAAAAAAGAAGCAGCATGATAGGAAACAGCCCAGAACAGGCCATGGAAAGTTTCCCACTGGCATACATTTGGCATGGGTCAGGGGCAGACCAGGCTGAATCAGTTCACGTCATCCACTGGCAAATCTGAGCACCAGAACAGAGTGTGGGTCAAGCCAGGTTTGGTCGCAACAAAAACCAATGCACAATATGGAATGCCAAGGTGAGGTTGCCTGTACCGGATGTGACTGCAATGCCCAACCAGCATGCGTGAGAACCAGGAAGGGAGGGGGCGGAGCCAGCAGGGGAAAATCGGGGGGCTCCCTTGCTGGACCGCTACTCCCACTGGAGAGCTTGAGCTGGGTTGGGGGCAGACCAGACTAAGAAGAGCAACAACACCTGTATGCCTCATGTGGACTAAATCAGGGAAAAGCCAGGCTGGGCTGATTATTCCTACTGGTGCAAACAAAATTAGAGTGGGCGAGGGTCGGTTGGGCTTAGCCGCAGCATCAGCTGGCAGAAGCTGGCACTGGGGGCTAGTTCTGTCAAGTCAAACCACAGAACCACCTGGAGAGTGCATAATCTAGCAGTGGGAGAGGCCTGGGAGGGAAATAGTGGGCTCCTCCCTCTTGGGTTACCACTCCCATAGGATGACAGGAAAATCAGGACAGGAGTGGGGGGGGCAGGGTTGGCTAGACAGAGAGGCACCCAATAACAACCGGGAGCGCTGGATAGTTGAGTTGGTTAGATGGAACTAAGCTTTAATACCCATTGACATGTACGACAGCCGAATGGGATGTGGGACAGACTGGACTAGTCTGCTACACATACTGGCAAACCAGGGTAGGGGGAGTGCCTGGTGGGAGTTATTACCGGTCGCTCTGACTAGGCTGCAGCTCCCAATGGTTTATGTGAGGGCTGAGAATGTGCTGGGTAGCACCAGGCTGGACTGCAACACCCATTGGTTCCAGTGGAAGTCGGGGCTGAAAACAGAACCAACCCTGCAATTGCAACCATCAGCTGATGGGGCGATGGACTGTGCTGGGCCCTGTACTTGCTAGTTCATACAAGAATCTGGTCTGGGAACACCTCAGACAAAGTTTCTTTGGGGATCTCCCCAATCGAAATGCCGGACTCGGAACCCTAACCATGAAAAGACAGAAAACAGCACAAGTCAATCCACCACCTTAGCTATATGTTGGCAGTGAAAAACATGGCAAATGGAGACTCTATCAAGGACTATGTCAATCAGTGGATTCTTCAACGACCTTATCCTGCTTGAAGTGGCGAGAATGGCAGAAATTCATAAATGGTGAACTATCAAACCACTTGAGCAAGAACCTCAGAGCAGGCCCCACACCTGGGACCTGGGGAGGGTGGGAGACTAGATGGGGCTTCTCCCTTAATATCACCCTACCTCAGATACATGAAAGAAACAATATGGAAATAATAGTCTTACCCACTTTCCTGTAGCCCTTGAACCTTTTTACCCTAATTAGTTATGTAAAGATTGTCAAAAATATAACAAAAAAATGAAAAAAAAAAAAAATTGAGCAAGCAAGGACATACCTCTAACCGTGAAATAGGTTGTGGGCCAAAGCTTTCTTCTTCCACTGAAGTATCAGCATTTGCTTCCAGTTGCATCTGCATAGCCATCACTGAAAAACATTGAAGCCATTGGCATAAATAGAATGCCAGGTGTGATAAGGACAAAGCTACAGGGCTGTGGCAGAAAGGGTTAAGCTGCCCTGGCCCCGGGTTCCTGAATCTGTGCCTGAAGCATGTACAGATTTTGGTAATCGAGGGGGTCCTGGACCCAATGCCTAAAGAGTATAGAGGATGACAGTACTTGATAAGTTCTTGGTCTAATCATTACCCATTCATGGCAAGCAAAACAAACCTCTCTAGAGATTTCCTCTCCATCTATCTAGTTAGTTATATCAGAAAGACTTTCTAGAAGGGCCAGGACTATTCTGTTTCTTAAAGATGCATACCTTGGGCCCAGCGCAATGGCTTAATTAGCTAATCCTCCCGCTTTGAGCACCAAGATCCCATATGGGAACTGGTTCATGCCCCAGCAGCCGTGCTTCCCATCCAGCTCCCTGATTGTGGCCTGGGAAAGCAGTCGAGGATGGCCCAAAGCCTTGGGACTCTGAACCCTCATAGTACAGGGCTCCTGGCTTCTGGCATCAGATCAACTCAGCTACAGCCGTTGCAGCCACTTGGGGAATAAAGCAGCAGATGAAAGCTTTCTCTCTCTCTTTTTCTCTGTAAATCTGCCTTTCTAAGAAAAAAAAAAATCTTAAAAAAAAAAAAAAGATAATGGTGCATACCTTAATTATACCAATCACATCTTCTGTTTTGTTGCTTTATATTGTGACCAGGCATTATGCATTTTTTGATACCTTATTTACATATTACCCCTGGAAAATAGCTCAACCTTGCCTAATAGGTCTTAGCACAGATAAAGAGAAGGCAACTGATGGGCTAAAGTCACTGCTTAATGACTACTATTTGTCATTCACAAGCTCCAAGGACAAATTAACTGTGACTACTTTGGAAAGCATGCACACAAGTGACGGTACCCTTCTCTTTCCATCACAGAAAGCCAAAACTCTTTACATTAAATCTCCACTCCCAACTGAACAAACACATGAGATCTTTTTGTAGGCACTCCCTTTTGAATATGTACAATCCTTCCCAGAACTTACTCTAAACTTCAAGAATATGTACCAGTTGCCTAAAAGAAAGCCAGTGTAACTTGTTGGATTTCGGTCATTAGACAATATTGCTCTTATTCTAGCCAATTGAAACATATCCGTTTCTGCAAATAGCTCAAATTGCTGTCAGCCTATTTCCACTGGCATATCACTGTTAAAGAGCCACGCCCCCTCCCTCGGGCATGGCAGCCTAGCAACTAAAGTCCTTGCAGGTGCTGGAATCCCATAAGGAGCTGGTTCTAATCTCAGCTGCTTCATTTTCTTTCCATTCCCTGCTTACCGCCTGGGAAAGCAGTCCAGGACAGGACAAAGCCTTCTGAGCCTTCACCTGTGGTGAAGACTCAGAAGATCCTAGCTCCTAGCTTCAGAGCTAACTTCCAGCCATTGAAACTACTTGGGGAATGAGCCAGTAGATGGAAGATCTCTCTTTGTAAATCTTTGCAATTGAGACCAAAAAAAAAAAAAAAAGTAAACCACAGGGTTTTCTGCTAGATTACTCTATCACACAGTACAAATGTTAGGTAAATGAAGACTGCCAAGACTACACTTGTGACAGGTTAAGCTTCTTTAGCTCTACTGTTTCCTTCCACTGAGAAGGGCTGGGGATTAGGGGCCCATGAAAGGAAGATAGCCTGCACTGCACAGTGGCCTAGCATCTAAAGTCCTCGCCTTGATCACGCAGGGATCCCATATGGGCGCCGGTTCTAATTTCCATCCAGCTCCCTGCTTAAGCCTGGGAAAACAGTAGAGGATGGCCTAAGGCCTGCACCCACGTGGGAGGCCCGGAAGAAGCTCCTGGCTCCTAATCAGCTCAACTCAGGCCATGCGGTCACCTGGGGAATGAATTATCGGATGGAAGACCTTCCTCTCTTCCTTTCTATATATCTAACTTTGCAATAAAAAAAAATAAATCTCTAAAAAAAAAAAAAACACAGAAGATAGCATGGTGATCCTTAAGCCCCATTCATGGTAGAAAATAGGACAGACTAAAGTAAGGGAAGGATCACAATTTACAGCCACACTTAACAGAATATGAATTTAAAAAAAAAAAAAGATTTATTTTTATTGGAAAGGCGGATATACAGCAAGGAGGAGAAACAGAGAGGAAGATCTTCCATCCAATCATTCACTCCCCAATTGACCGCCCACATGCAATCCTGGCAAGTTCAAGGTGAGGACTTTAACCGCTACGCTGTCGCACCAGGCCCAAAAGTAGAATATGAAATTTAAAAATCACCATTTTCAGCCAATTCCAGAGTTCAGTGAACAAATTCAAAACAAACCAAACCAAATAAACAAAAAGCACATAAATACCCTGCTCACTCTGAAATCTTCTACATCCACTCTAACATCTACTCCTAAAATTAAGCAATTACAATCAAGGGAAGGTGACTCAGCTTAAGGAGATGGTGCTGTGCACAGCGGGTTGGTTAAGCCAGGATTGCTGGCATTTCACTCGAGCACTGGTCCCAGTTCTGAGCTACTCTGCTTCAGATACAGTTTCCCACCAATGTTCCTGTGAAGGCAGCAAAAGCCAGTCTAAGATCTGGGACCCTGCTAGCCCTACATGAAGTCCCACCCCAAGGAGGGCCAAGATGCAGTTTCAAGCTCCTCGACTGAACCTGGATGAGAACTGGCTGTTGCAAACATTTGCCAGAGTGAACCAGCAGATAGAGGATCTCTGTTTCACATACAAATACACTACTTAATTAAGATTAATTAATTAGTATTGGAAACGCAGATATACAGAGAAGGAGAGACAGACAGAATAATCTTTCATCCACTGGTTCACCCTGCAAGCACCTGCAACAGCTGGTCAGTGCTAAGCCAATTTGAAGACAGAAGCCAGGAGCCTCTTCCAGTTTTCCTAGTGGGTACAGAGTCCCAAGGTTTTGAGCTGTCCTTAACTACTATCCCAGGCAGGGAGCCGGATGGGATGTGGAGCAACCGGGAAACAGGCTGATGCCTATACAGGATTCCAGCAGTTTCAAGGTGAGGGTTTAGCCACTAGGCTACCACACTGGGCCCCATGATATAAATACTAAAAACAAAAACACACACAAAAAAACAAATACAGTACAGTCTTGGAAGCTTGACAGGCAATATTAGACGAACATTTGGTGTTGATTTGTTCAAATCTAGCTAGATCTCTTAATGTAAGATTTCAAATACTGACTTGATGAGAATGCCTTGCATCAGCATCATCTGAATACAGTCTAGAGAAGATGGCACAGCAGAGCAGTGGGAAAGGATGGTCACGTCAACAGTGCTGGGTTGCCTGGCTGCTCTCACACAATAAAATACCAGTCAACTTTCAGTTTAGATTGGAGATCTAAATTTAAGAGGCTAAAAGTAAAGTTTTCAAAATATAGCAGCCCTCTCCCACTTTCCACCAGACACAAGAAGAAAAAAAAAAAAAAGGAAACAATTGTCTCATTTTCCCCCATTCCTCAACCCTTCCTACCCTGATCAGTGACCCACACGGACATGCACCCTTCTCAACTATGTAAACATCATAAAAAATTTGTTTTATTAAAAAACAAACACACACACATAGAGGAGACAAAGAAGTTAGATTGTACGGGAGACAATCTGAATGTTAATTTGCTGGGCACCATGAATAAACACTTCCTGAAAAAAAATTATTTTTCATAACCATAGAAAAAGTTATTGCACTGGATACAGAATGTAAAAACCTTACAAAAAAGACTGAAAAATTGCCTACACTTATCATACCCTGAAAGATTCAGAAGACATCATTAAGACAATGAAAATCAAATCAAAGTATGTCAGATAATATTTAACATTAATATATAACAGGGTTGTTAATCAGAATACAAACAGAAGGAAGTCTTTCAAACAAGGATAAAAAAGATAATCAACTCAAAGAGTGGGCTGACTTGGACAAGCACTTCACCAGATGTCCAAATGGTCGAGAAACAAACAAATGCTCAATCTCACCAACAATCAGGAAAGCTAAAATTTAAGCCACAACCGAACATTAGTTTTATTTACTAGAACAGGTAAAAATAAAACAAATGACAAATATCAAGCAATTAAACTCTCAAGCAATTAAGCTCTCGGTGCATTTACGCAAAATTAGGCGAGAATTAGCTAAGGATCCAGTGCTTAGCCAAGTGAAAACCATGAACAAGGGGGCAGGTACAACAGAAGATTCTGGGGTGCTGGCAGTGCTCTGTGAGCAGGTGTGGCCACAGGGGTATTCATTATATAATCGCGCTATTATATGCCACTTGATTTTCCACACAAGACTTTGAAAATGTCTTTCTGGCGACTTAAGGCTGCTCCTCTGTAAGCAGAAAACGGAGCAGTGGAAAGACCGACCAGGGACAATCCCGGCGACGTTGAGCAGCTGCGACGCTGCACAGCCGGGAGGCGGCTCGTTAGCCCCAATCAGCTCGCCCGGCCCCGCCATCTCCGTGTTTCTCGCCCGGCGAGCCCCAAAGCCGGCCGAGGGAGCACAGACTAAGCAAAGAGCCACAGGTGTGGAAGCGGGCCGGCGGCTCACACTCACCTGGGCCTCCGGCCCGCGGGTCGGGCGCGCTGCACCGGCGGTGGGCCTACGCCCCAACTTGAACCCCCGGTTCTCTAGGCCTCGCCCGGCCGCCTGCCACCGCGCCGACCGGTCTCTGACCCGGCTGCGTGTCTGAGCGACGGGCTGTGGCTTCCTCGGCTTCCTCAGGCCCGGGCCCCGCGGCTGCAGCGATGGTTCCGACGGGAAGCTTTCGGAAATCGCGCCAAAAGCCTGCGGGGTGACGTCACGCTCGCGCCGACGTAAACGTCGCCCCGCCCCCCGTCCCCGCCCTCCGCCCTCCGCCTCGTCCGGCCCTGGCCCGAGGGCGGGATAAAGTGCTGGGACCTGCCTATTGTGCATTACCAACCAACCAAACTTTCCAATTCCCCACTTTAGACTACAAATCCCAAGAGTTGGTGTGGTCGTGCCGTCACTTCCGGAAACCTGTGGGCTGGTTTCTGTGGGACCTTGCCTTTGGGCTGTGGGAAGCCCTACCTTGGATTTAGCCACTAGGCCATCGCGCTGGGCCCAATTTAAATTTTTTTTTTTTTAATGTCAGAGAAAGGGGATCTTCCATCCATTTGTTCACTTTTTAAGGGCCATGTCAAAGCCAGGAGCCAGGAACTCCATCAGGGTCCTCATGTGGGTAGCAGGGACCCAAACAGTAGAGCCTCCTGAGTGCATTAACGGGAGGTGGAGACCCAGATGAAGCTCCTAGCTTTGGCCTGGTCCAGCCCTGGCCATTGGCACCATTTGGGGTGTGGGTAAGTGAATGGTGATGATTGCCGCAGTTACTGGAGGAGGGCAAAGCTTGCTTTGAGCCCAGTACTTCACTCTAACCTCAGGCTGGAACCCAGAAGGGACAGCAGAATTCTGGCGCACCCTGAGGCAATAGACCCATTGTTGAACCAATATCCAACACCAAATAAGGACCGAGGCGACCCCGCTTCAGCTTCCATGTCAAGAGGGGTTTAAGACTCCCTGCACGCCCTTCCCTTGTCTTTCTTTCTGTTCCTTTGTAGCCGCTTCTCTGCTTCTGTTTCCGTTGCAAGTGAGAAAGGCCTGTGAACTGGGGTTTCTTTGAATAAAGGTCATCTATATTCCTTCTATTCTCGGCTGATTCGTTCCTTCACGGTTGGTCGATGAATCTAACAAATGGAAGTGATGACTACCACGGAGTTGACCTCCAACCAGACCCAGAACGGATGACGGAATTCTGGTGGGCTCCTCAGGCTGTGAGACCACCGTTGCACCAATGAGGGGCACAGACCCATAGTCCCCCACCAATAAGGGTCGAGGAGACCCCTATTTCGGCTTCCATGTCAAGGAGAGTTTACAAAGCCCTTCCCCGTCTCTTCTGCGCTCTTCCTTTGCAGCCCACTCCGTCACGTCTTTCTGCTGCAGGGGAAGAGGTAGCCCGTGACCGTGGTTCCCCGAAATAAAGGCCATCTAAATTCTTTTCATATATTTGGCTGTCGGCGAATCTAACATTTTGGCCAGCAGTGAATCGAACAGGAAGATCCCTCTCTAACTCTGCCTTTACATAAAATAAATCTTCGGGCCCGGCGCGGTGGCGCAAGTGGTTAAAGGTCCTCACCTTGCACGCCCGGGATCCCATATGGGCGCCGGTTCTAATCCCGGCAGCCCCGCTTCCCTTCCAGCTCCCTGCCTGTGGCCTGGGAAAGCAGTCGAGGACGGCCCAAAGCTTTGGGAACCTGCACCCGCGTGGGAGACCCGGAAGAGGCTCCTGGCTTCGGATCGGCATAGTATCGGCCCGTTGCGCTCACTTGGGGAGTGAATCATCGGACGGAAGATCTTCCTCTCTGTCTCTCCTCTCTGTATATCTGCCTTTCCAATGAAAAAATAATAAAAATAAATCTTTAAAAAAAAAATCTTAAAAAGCGACAGGACCTGGCATGGTAGCGATGGCTAAAGTCCTTGCCTTGCGTGCGCCAGGTGTGAGGAGTGATTGGACCGGGCGCCAGTTCCTGCTTCGTCTTTCCTACAGCTTGCGAAACTGGCACCATTCTGGTTATCCGCCGAGATGTAACCTCATGGTCTTTTGAGGACAGCACCCCCAATCTCTGAAGGCCCTCTTGCTAGTCCTCAGCCACCTAATTGTGGCTCAAATAATTTCAGTCCCCAGTCCCTGGGACACACCCCAACCCCTCCCAAGCAATTCTCCACAGGCTTCCCACACCTTGTGGCTAAAGTCATCCACTTGTCTGCATTGGTATCCCATATGGGTGCCGGTTCATGTCCTAGAGACCCTGTTTCCCATCCAGCTCCCTGCTTGTGCCCTGGGAAAGCAGGATGGCCCAAAGCCTTGGGACCCTGCACCTAAGTGGGAAACCCAGAAGAGGCTCTGGCTTCAGCTCAGCTCAACTCTGGGCACTGTGGTCCTTGGGGGGTGGGGGGTGACCCAGTGGACCGAAGGCCTTTCTCTCCTTCTCTCTGTAGATCTAACAAAAACAAAAACAAAAAAAACCAAAAGCAGCCCTAGCAGCAGAGCAGCGACTTTGTTAAGCATTCTGATACAGGATGCCAGCATTCCAAGCAATGGCCTAATCTGAAATGCTACAACACTGTCCAAGAATCATTAAAAGCTTTTTTAAAAATGAGGGATAATTTAAATTTACTTTCTCCTCAATAGTTCTACTACTTTATATTGATGGAGTACTTTATACTTTAACACCCCAATGAGCCTGACATAGTAGCCTAGTGACTGAAGTCCTTGCATTATGTATGCAAGGATCCCATAAGGGTGCCAGTTTTTTTTTAAAGATTAATTTTATTTATGTATTTTATTAATTGGTGATTTTTTTTGCATTTAATTTTATAACAACGTTTCATAGGCTCTGATGTTCCCCCTTTCCTTCCCCTTGCCCTCCCCCCACGTGGATTGCTCCACCTTATTGCAGTATTACAGTTCAAATCTAGTCTTGTTTCTTCCAGTGCAAGCATGTGCCTTGCACAGTGTCCAGTATCTTATTGCCCAGCTGAATTCAACAGTTTCTTGAGGAGACCATCTCTGGTCTGGAGACATAGCTGGCAGATTATCGTTCTGACCAATTAAATGCCATAACATAACATCAACAACCATTCCCAACATTATGGGGTTAACAATGTAATACTACATTTCACAGGTACCCTTTTACAAAGATTTATTTTTCTTGCAAAGTCAGATATGGAGAGACAGCAAGGATCTTCCGACTGATGATTCATTCCCCAAGCGGCCAGTTACTGGAGCTGAGCCAATCCAAAGCCAGGAGCAAGGACCTTTTCCTAGTCTCCCATGTGGGTGCAGGGTCCCAAGGCTTTGGGCCGTCCTTGACTGCTCTCCCAGGCCACAAGCAGGGAGCTGGATGGGAAACAGCACTGCTGTTAAAAAGCTAATTTAAGTTGTATGGGAAAAAAGACCATATTAATAACTTCAAACATTTTTCAAGGAGTGTATAGAAATAGGGAAACTATTAATTTTCATGAGAAATGAATTTTGACTTTGAAGCTTCAAAGGCCATATGATCTTTACACTTTATTTCAGATAAAGAAACCAACAGGGAAGATAACATTCCAGGAGATCTATAGGACTTTACCCTGATCCTAGGTAAGAAGCAAATTTTAAGGAAAATTAATTTAAAATAAAAATATACTTCAGCTTAGAATTAAATATAAACAAAGCAAAGATTATCATGATTAGGATTTGACAAAAGTTTGGGTAAAAACGCTTTCATATTTGTCTACCTCATAGATGGATATACTTACTTTTGAATGAGGAGGGTGTATTTTCAGCAACAATACTTGCTCATAGATTTATTACTACTGCCAAAAATTGGTTAAACTGGTATTCTGGGTATTATACTGTTACGCCACTATTTAATAAATGATAGTTGAGACGTTTGCTATAAATCAGCTTCAGAAGATGGAAATTGCTTAGCAAAAAAAGTATTTTCTCTATATACTATATGATATATACATCTCCATACTATATCACAAAACATTATTTACATATGTACTGAGTTAAAATGAATTAGCTTTACCTTAAAAAAAAAAACTTATTATGAAAATAGACATCATAGAATGAAAAGCAAGCCCTTCCATTTGATTTTTCTTAACATTGACATTAAAAAAAAAAAGATGAGTTGTTTGTAAACAGACATGTTTCTATTCCAAAAATATCTGCTAGGCAAAGCCAGGCTACTGAAAATTACTAGTACTGGCTCATGTTTTTGTTAATGGTAACTTCTCTTATGCTTGAATGTTTCTCCTGAGGACACCTTACAGCACACAATTTTAGTCAGGGGAAAATTTTACTTAAAATGTACTATTACTTAAACCTTTGGAACAAAAGTGAATATGGTGGTAGCAAAGTGTTTGGGACCTTACATCACCTCCATCCAAACAATTTTGACAACTAATCATACCCATCACTTATAACATCATCAGTGAGAATTTTACTAGCTTCTATGACCTAAAGACACACGATAAACTGCAATGGAGACCCTAATATAATGTGACTAAGCGCATCCTGCTTGGTTGTTACAACCATGGTCCATGGATTCAGTGGTAGACATGGCAGTCATGTAGCAGATCTTGGTAAATTTGCTTGACCACATTCTTCAGATAGTTGTCTTCCAATGGCACTTTAGACAGAATGGCAGCAATGCCATCTTGGCTGGAAAGAACAAAAAGGTTAATAACTTTTTCTGGAAAGTTGTATTTATCTTCCATTCAGTGCAATGCATGTTCTTGGGTAGTTTCTCTCACTTCTTTTAGAACAAATGGGGATTTCTGGAAATAGCAGGTTGTTCAGTTTAATATGATTCCAAAGTAGACCCGAGAACTAATTCTGTATGCAACTGTGAGGCATTTTATTTTACAGTTTTCTTAAGATTTATTTGTTTTTATTGGAAAGGCAGATTAGATTTATAGAAAGGAGAGAAAGATCTTCCATCTGTTGCTTCACTCCCAAATAGCGGCAATGGCCAGAACTGAGCAGATCCAAAGCCAGGAGCAAGGAGACTGATTCCGGGTCTCCCACATGGGTGCATAGCCATCTTCTACTGTTTTCCCAGGCCACAAGTAGAGAGTTGGATGGGAAGTGGAGCAGCCAGGGCACAAACCAGTGCCCATATGGGATCCTGGCACTTATAAGGTGAATATTTAGATATTGTGCCACACACTATGAGGCATTTTGAGGTAATTTCTTTCATTTTCTAATTTAAATGGTTGGTGATGACCAATGGATTTAAGGTGGGTCCATTTTAAATTCTACCTTCCTCCAATTTGTCAGTAGCATGTATAAACAATCACAAAATTTACCACTGTGTAGTAGGAAGGACGCCTTTTTATGTCTATTTCTACCAGCTAATTGAGAAGAGTATAATGACCCAGAGTTTATTTATTTTTTTTAAGGTTATAAAAGTTGTATAATGGACCTCAGATATATGAAGGAAACAATATGGAAATAATAGTCTTACCCACTTTCCCTGTAGCCCTTGACCCTTTTTGCCCCAATTAACTATGTAAAGACTGTCAAAATAAAAAAAAATTATAAAAAAAAAAGTTGTATAACGGGAAAAAAAAAGTATAAGGGATTAGTTTTATCTACAATTTTTTCATTTTTAATTCCCACTTTAGACAAGAATGCTCTAAAAATAAAGCAGGTATAATAATACATCAATTGTTTCTAGCATTCACTGGATGTAGCAATGAAAGTCACTGACTTTCAGAGTTAATGTTGGGACAAAGCAGGTTAAGTCACCTCTTGTGATGCCAACATCCCATATGGTAACTGATTTGTGTCCTGAATGCTCCATTCTAATATATCTCCCTGATAACGTGCCTAGGAAAGCAGCAGTAGGCATCTCAAGTACCTGAGACTGGGCTTTGGTCCTTCTTAGCCTTGGTTTGGACAGTGAGCCTAGGGATGGAAGACTGATCTCTCTATAATTCTACCTTTCAAATAAATAAATAAATCACAAACAACAACAACAAAAAAATAAATTCTTCAAATCTAAGAGAACTGACCTTTCACATTCACTACAATCCATCCATTTACTGACCACTTTGAGTGATCTTTCGAACTAAGTAACAAAGGTAAAAAGGGAGTCTTACCTGGTGCTCCCAATGTGATTTTCAATTGTAAACGGTACTGGGACATATGGATAATGGGCAGAGAGAGACAATGTTATCTCAAACTTTGCAAATGCTGCAGAGCTGGCAAACAAAAGTGTCAGGCTGTAAAAGACAAGATTTGCAACTAAGAATACAGAACAAAATTATAGGACATTTGTCTTTTACACTGGCTTATAAAACTTAGGTAAATATTTCTTGTCTTACTGAGGGAACAGAAGATAAAAAACTTAGAACAAGGAAGGTATTGTAATGATTATTTTTCAATATTAACAACAAATCATACTAATAAAATTAATTTTTAATAAATTTTTGACTTACTATTTCCTCCCCAAATCATCAGAGTTCTAACCCTTAATACTTTGGAATTTGGAAATTCTTGTCACTGCAGATACAAATAGCTAAGCTGAAATCTTGATGAAGTAGGGTAAACCCTTAATAGCTCCTGGAAAGAACTAACTTGTTGACACTACAACCTCAGGTTTCTAGCCTCCAGAACTGTGAGATGGTAAGCCACTTGATTTGCAGTATTTTGGCAGCCCAAGAGAATCAACACACTTACTCAGTATTTTCCACATGTATGTTCATAAGGTTATAATATGTTCCCCATCTCATTAAAAATTCAATCTCCTCTCCAAGGAGTCTGCAATGGTTCACCACCAATGAAAGTTCTTGAAGCATCTAGGGGGCAGGGAGGATTGATGAGATTATCAAAACCTTTAGTTTTTGATGGCTCTTTTATAAAGAAACAAAAAAGTTATATAAAATATAAAAACAAATAAAAAGAAACAACAAATAAAAACAAAACAGTCACATAATACAATGTAATAAAAAAAAAACCAAAATAAAAAAAAACACAAAAAGAAAAAAAAAGTCAAACTGAATACATTTATCATTTCAGGTTATTTTAGGAAAGGTCTTCTCATTATCTGGGTCTCCAATATGGACAAAAGGGGCTTGCAATGGAAATGAAGCAACTGGCACATGACCGGTATCCATATGGGACACTGGCTTTCAGGTGATGATTTTGCTGTAGCACAATATCAGCCCCTAATTTCAACATAATTTTGCAGCAAAATAAGCATAATCATTTAATTCAATTTTCCACAACATTTTTAAAGTAAAATGTAAAATTTCAGTTCTATTTATTTTTAGGGGGACACACAATACAAATTTTTTTTCTATTTCTGAAAGCAGGCTTTACCTTGGGTACCTGATGCTGGGTGGTACATGTCTTCTTCCAGGATTCCTGTTCCTCAATATACTGAAAAATAAGCTTATGAACCAAAAGGGAGGAAGGCGGGGCTTTATCTTCTGGGGGAGAAGAAAATCAAAAGCAGGGCATTACTTAATATTTATTTATTTATATAAGTTAAAAAAATACTAAGTTCGCAAATTAAATAAGCCTGAAAACTACTAATGCAATGGTGTCCTCTTCATTTTTTATTTGCAGCATTATTGTAACACATATGGTGAATATAAGACCTTCTTGCCAAAATTTAAGACTTAATCACATACAGGATAGCAATTAATTAAGAGGGTGGGTTAAAATTTAATACAAAACTGAGTTTAAATCATTTCTTTACTATCTTAGTGACCCTAAATATAACACTCAAAAATTTTCTGCTCTCTCTAATTGGTAAAACGAAGAATAATTTCTTCCTCATAGTGTTGATACAAGTACAAACATACACCACACAAAGTAATTTACTCATAATCACAATTTTAAAATTATGAATCCTATATAATTGCTCAAGGCCTAGTAATATTGCCTAGTAATAGTAAAAAAAAAAATCCTAGGACATTACACCAGAAGTTTTATGCCTAATACTCATAGAAAAAATTGCTATGATTGCTTAAATTTAACTTAGTAGTAAAGAGTTCTTAAGGAGAAATTTATATCTACAAAATACCAACGAAGTTTTAGAGGCCAAAAATGTTGTGAACTTACCATCTAACAGAGACTGAAACTTCAACTCAATAATCTTCTTAGAAGCCTTACCCAGGAAAGAGAGACCAGCTAGAAAGAACCAGAAAAAGATAGTATTTGTTTCTATTGTCTGATTTGAGCCACATTAAACTCAGTACTTGAGAATTCTACTCCTCTCTGTGGCAGGGCTATTCACAGGCAACTGAAGGTCTATCACATTATCCTTTGCATTATCTCCACTAATCTCAACCAGCTTAACTAATAACTTGGAAAGAAATTTAAAACATAGCACACAGCTTTGCTCATTAATATCACTTCTTTCTATCCCCAACATCTGTGCAAGAAAAATTTTATTTTTATTTTTTATTTATTTTTTTATTTTTTTATTTTTTTTAATTTTTTTTTTATTATTTTTTCATTGGAAAGGCGGATATACAGAGAGGAGAGACAAAGAGGAAGATCCTCCGTCCGATGACTCACTCCCCAAGTGAGCGCAACGGGCCGATACTATGCCGATCCGAAGCCAGGAGCCCCCCCTGGGTCTCCCACGCAGGTGCAGGCTCCCAAAGCCCTGGGCTGTCCTCGACTGCCTTCCCAGGCCACAGGCAGGGAGCCGGAAGGGAAGCGGGGCTGCCGGGACTAGAACCGGCGCCCACATGGGATCCCGGGCGTGCAAGGCGAGGACCTTTAACCACTTGCGCCACCGCGCCGGGCCCTATTTATTTATTTTTTATTATTTTTTATTGGAAAGGCAGATTATAGAGAAAAAGAGACACAGAGAGAAAGAGCCTCTGTCAGCTGCAACACTCTCCAAGTGGCCGAAACAGCCAGAGCTAATTTGATTCAAAGCCAGGAGTCGAGAGCGAGGAGCTTCTTCCAGGTCTCCCAAGGGGTGTAAGGTCCCAGGCTTTGGTCATTCTCAATGTCCTTCCCAGGCTATAACAGGGAGTTGGATGAAAAGAGAAGCAGCCAGGATACACATTGGCACCCATAAGGGATCCCGGTGCGTGCAAGATTTAGCCACTGGGCCACAGCGCTGGGATCTTTATCTAATAAATTAAAATTGAATTAACACTAAAGCGATAAGATTTTTTTATCCCTCCTTTTTTTTTTTTTAAAGATTTATTTTTATTATTTTTCATTGGAAAGGTGGATATACAGAGAGGAGAGACAGAGAGGAAGATCTTCCGTCCCAATGATTCACTCCCCAAGTGAGCACAACGGCCGATACTATGCCGATCCGAAGCCAGGAGCCTCTTCCGGGTCTCCCACGCAGGTGCAGGGTCCCAAAGCTTTGGGCCGTCCTCGACTGCTTTCCCAGGCCACAGGCAGGGAGCTGGAAGGGAAGCGGGGCTGCCAAGATTAGAACCGGCGCCCATATGGGATCCCGGGTGTGCAAGGCGAGGACCTTTAACCATTTGCGCCACCGCGCCGGGCCCTATCCCTCCTTTTTAAAGGTTTATTTTATTTATTTGAAAGATATCTAGTTGGGCCCCAGTTTGTATCCCAGCTATTCCATGTTCCATCTAGCTCTCTGGTTTTTTTGTTTGTTTGTTTGTTTTTGTTTATTCTTTTCTGTTTTTGTTGTTGTTTTTCCCTGCTTGTGGCCTGGGAAAGTAGTAGAGGATGCCCCAAAGCCTTGGGACCCTGCATCCTCATGAAAGATTGAGAAGAGTCTCCTGGTTCCTGGCTCCTTGCTTCAGATTGGCTCAGTTCCAGGCATTACAGCCATTTGGAGAGTAAACCAGTGGATAGAAGATCTTTCTCTCTGTCTTTCCTTCAGTCTGTAAAAATATACCTTTCCAATGAAAATAAATAAATCTTAAAAAAGAAATTTGCAGAAATAGAGAAAACAGATCTTTCATTTGCTGGTTCATTTTTGAAATGGTAATAATGGCCAGGACTAGGGCAGATGAAAGCCAGGAGGTAGGAACTGCGTCTCCCATATGAAAAACTTTGGCTGTCTTTGTTGCTTTTCTAGGCACATCAGCAAGGAAAAGGATCCTAATGAAGCATCTGGCACTTGATGGAGCCATTTGATGGTGCAATGGCTTAGCCAGGTACTTCAGACTGCTGGCCCCAGTGACAGAGCCTAGTAGGTAAGACCTCACTTTGCATGCACCAGGATCCTACTGGGCATGGGATTGTGTCCTGGCTGCTCCATTTTCCACCAGCTCCCTGTTGTACTCTGGAAAAACAGTGCAGAATGACGCAAAACCTCTGGATACTAAACCCACGAGGGAGACCCCGAGGCTTTCAGATTTGCTCAGCTTCAGCTGTAGTGATCACTTGGGGAGTGAAACAGACAGAAGATCTTTCTGTGTTTCTCCTTCTCTCTTCATATCTGGATTTCCAATAAAAAGAAATAAATCTTTAAAAAAAGGTTTTGGGCCCAGCACAGTGGCCTAGCAGTTCAAGTCCTTGCCTTGAACACCCCAGAATCCCATATGGGTGCTGGTTCTAATCCCAGCAGCCCTGCTTTCCACCCAACTCCCTGCTTGTGGCCTGGGAAAGCAGTTGAGGATGGCCCAATGTTTTTGGGATCCTGCACCCATGTGGGAGACCTGGAGGAAGTTCCTGGCTCCTGGCTCCAGACTGGCACAGTACCAGCCATTGCACTCACTTGGGGAGTCAATCCTGGGACGGAAGATCTTCCTCTCTGTATATTTGAATTCACAATAAAAATACATAAATCTTAAAAAGAAATTTTTTTTTCAGCAGTGATATTATCATGCCGTTAGTTAGCTATTCATTTTTAAAAAATATTTATTTTTACTGGAAAGTCAGATTTACAGAGAAGGAGATACAGAGAGGAAGCTCTTCCATCCTCTGATTCACTCCCCAAATGGCCACAACGGCCAAAGCTAAGCTGATGCAAAAATCAGGAGCCAGGAGCTTCTTCTGGGTCTCCCATGTAGGTGCAGGGTCCCAAGGTTTTGGGCTGACCTCTGCTGCTTTCCCAGGCCACAAGCAGGGAGCTAGAATGGAAGTGGAACAGCCTGGATACGAACTGGTACCCACATGGGATCCTGGTGCATGCAAGGCGAGGACCTGAGCCACTAAGCTACCATGCTGGACCCTAGCTATTCATTTTTATACAAAGGGTTATTTTAATTGCACTACTCACCTATTGGTTCTCCAAAGGTAATGTTAAGTTGTATTGTGTCATAAACAAAGGTGAATATAGCTTGATCATCACTCCACTCAATGATATCCCATTCAGACAAACTGGAGAGAGAGAAGCAAAACAAAACAGTATTTTTAAGATAAAAAAAGATATCACACAAACAGTAGTAAGAGTTGCAAGTTGTATTTTTCCATTACATTTGGACACAATATTATAACTTAAACATTGTAACTCAACATTCAATTATATACTGAAGAAAAGCCAAATCTATGTGAAAGTATTCCATGTTTTTAAATTTCATAGTTCTCCTATTTTGTATAGTGTATCAGCTTAGCAATGAGTATGGTAAATCCCTGAGGGCACACCACACTAGAGGATAAAAATTTTGTAGCAGTACATTAAAATTAATTAACTGGATTTCCATTTTTTTTTCTTCCTCTACATGCTATATCTTTATCTATTGGACTGTTAGGCTTGTGATTGTGAAGTGATAGAAAAATACGCCATTGTAATAAATAATATGTGAAAAAGAATAATGGGAGGGAGATAGGAAAAGAAGATGGGGAGGATGGAAGCAGGAGCCTCTAGCTTCTAAATATGTGAGATGCTGTTACTTTGTAAAAAAGCAACAACTGCTCCATCTGCTTCAGATAATCCTTGAGGCACAGGATCAATACACAAATGACACCTGCTTTTTCTTACCTCAATTGGTCCAGTAATTCCTTAGTTCTATTTGTTTGCTTTTTCATGCAATCTATTTGAGCAAGGGTCTGCGCTTTTTGAAACTTCAGTTCTGCAAGGTTTCTGTAAATAAAACCAGGAACATAAGGTCTTTGCTAGAGAATTCAGAATTCACTTTGTACAGATAAAACACTTTTATTGGGGCCAGTGCCCACAGGCTAAATCTCCACATTCAAGCACCAGCATCCTATATGATAAATTTTGAACAATTTATACATGCTGAAAACAGACTAGAAGAAGCAGAATTTAAAATAGGCCCACTTTAAACCCACTGGCTGTCACCAACAGCTTAGATAAAAAAAATTTAAATCATTAACTCAATTAAAATGACTCCCAGGCCTGGAGTGATGGCTTAACAGCTAAACCCGTACCTTGCATGTACTGAGATCCTACATAGCCACTGCTTCATGTCCCAGCTACTCCATTTCCCATTCAGCTACCTCTTGTGGCCTAGGAAAGCAGTCTAGAATAGCCCAGTCTTGGGAATCTGCACCTACATCGGAGACCTGGAAGCTCTTGACTCTGGCTTCAGATTGGTTCAGCTCCGGCCACTGCGGCTATTTGGGGAGTATACTAGCATTTGGAAGATATTTCTCTTTTTTTTTTTTCTATAAATCTGCCTTTCCAATAAAATAAGTAAATTTATAAAAAATGGCATCCATTTCTAAGTTCTTAGGTTTTTTTTTGTTTTGTTTTTTTAAGATTTGCTTATTCTTATTGGAAAATCAGATTTGCAGAGAAGGAAAAACAGAAAGATCTTCCATGTTGGTTCACTCCCCTGTGGCTGCACCACCTGGAGTTAAGCTGATCTTAAGATAGGAGCCAGGAGCTTCTTCTGGGTATCCCACATCGGTGCAGGGTCCCAAGGCTTCAGCTGTCCTTGACTGCTTTCCCAGGCCACGAACAGGGAGCTGGAAGGGAAGAGAAGCAGTTGCAATACAAACTAATACCCATATGGAATCCCAGTGCATGCACGGATTTTAGCCACTAGGCTAACAAGCCAGGCCCAGTTTAGTTTGATTTTTGCAGTGGAGGGGAAGAGATAACTTCACATCACATTTTCACTCCCTGGCTAATAGCTGGAGCTGGTCCAGTCCAAAGCCAGAAGCCCAGAGCCTTTGTGTCTCCCATATAGGTGGCAGATGGTTTGTCACTTCTTTTTCAGTCACATTAGTACCGAAATAGATCAGAAGTGCAGCTGCCATGACTAAAACTAGTGATCCCATAAGGGATGTTGGCATTGTAGGTGGCAACTTAGTTTGCTGTGCCATAATACCAGCATTAGCTTTGAATTTTGAAAAGCAGCAGGCAAAGGCTGGGTGCTGTGGTTGTAGCAAATTAAGTTGCCACATGTAATGAAGAATCCTATATGACTGATGGTTCTAGTTCCATTGGTCCGCTTACCTTCCAGCTATTTTGCCTTTCAAAAAAAAAAAAAAAAAAAAAGTACAGACCAAAATGAAGGAAGGTAATAAGAAAAGATGGAAGGAAAGAAGGAATGCAGGCAGGCACGTAGGCAAGCATTAGACTAGAACAAGTGGAAGCCCCAACAATTTTACTTCCAATGTGCCTGATGAAATAGTTGAAGATGACCCAAACACTTGGACCCCTGTCACCCATATGAGAGTCCCAGATAGAGTTGCAAACTCTTGGCTTTGACCTGCACCGGCTCTTGTCTTTGCAGCCACTTGAGGAATGAAGCAGAGGATAGATGATCTCTCATTCACTCACTCTCTCTCTCTAATTCTGCCTTTCAAATAGATAAATAAATCTTAAAAACTGAAAAAGAGCCTGGCGTGGTAGCCTAGCAGCTAGTCTTTGCCTTTATGGGAGCTGGTTCATATCCTGGCAGCCTCGCTTCCCATCCAACTCCCTGCTTGCTGTCTGCAGGAGCAGTTGAAAATGGCTCAAAGCCTTGGGACCCTGCACCTGCGTGGGAGACCCAGAAGAAGCTCCAGGCTCCTGGCTTTGAATTGGCTCAACTACAGCTATTGTAGCTCTTGGAAAGTGAATCAGTGGATGGAAGATCTTCCTCTCTGTCTTTCCTCCTCTCAGTATATCTGACTTTGCAAGAAAAATAAATCAAAAAAGAAAAAAAAAGGAATAGATCTTCTTAGGAAAGGTGTGAGTCATTCTCAAATCAGAATTTTGAAGATGTCTTGAAATCCATATGAAGTGTTATTAAATATATAACATTATTAGTATGTATGAAACAACATACTTTTTATAAGTAGCACAAAATATTTTAAAGATGCTCAACCTAAAACTGACAAGTGCAATAATTTTGTTGCCTGTATTTTTTTAATTTGCAGAAATAAATAAAACTTATCCTTCATAAATCATTTTGCTAGCATAATTTAATGTCAGCAAAACATTATCAATTGTCACATTGATTGGAATTTTGCATTTTTTCTCCATTACTGATACTTAATTTCTGTTACTCTTACACTTGGATATGATATGCAAACGTGAAAAATATGCTTCTCATTTATTTGTTTGTAGAGCAGAGTTACAGAAAGAAAGAGGGAGAGGCCAGTGTGCCATCCACTAGTTCATTCCCCAAATAAATGCAACAGCCAGAGTTAGGCCAGTCCAAATTAGGAGCCAGGAGCTTCTTCTGAGTTTGTCACCTGGATGAATACACCCAAGGCTTAGGCCATCCCCTGCTGCTTTACCAGGCTCATTAGCAGAGAGCTGGTAAGAGTGGAGCAGCCAGGACTCATACCACGCCCATACGGGATGTGGCACCCCAGGGGAAGGCTTAGCCTGATAACCCACAGAGCCACCCCAGCATCATGTTTTCCGATACTTGGCATGAAGGCTGACCTTTGAAGCACCTGCTCTTCTGTTTTCAGTTGTTCCAGTTCTTTGAAAACAAAACAAAAGAAATGATGTTTAGAATGTTGGCGCAAAAATCACATCTTATTAAAAGTTTTATTGGACTTAATCTCATTTGATATAAGAATCTTTAAAAGTTCCTGTAAAGTACATACTATAAAAAATATACACGAGTTTAAAAATATTTTTGCAACAGAATAAATTTAACTGTTAATTTCATTTTTCTTGATGTTTTTGAAGTCTCTATAAGAACAAGTCAGACAGAGGGGCATTCAGCTTCCTAGCTCACTTACCTTTCTCTGCAGCTTTCATTTCAGAACTCCATTCTTCCGCAGGATTCACTTTTTCTGCATCTTCCAAACTGTTAGTTTCTAAAGGACACAGCCCATATTGGAATAAATGTCAATACTTTACTATGGTCCAGAAATGTGGCACCGCATGTAAAGCTTCTGCTTGCAGTGCCAGTATCACATGCAGGCACTAGTTTGAGCCCTAGCTCCTCCACTTAGAGGTGACTCCCTACAAATCTGCCTGGGAAAAAGGCCTGGGCCCTTTGCACTGATCTAAGAGACCTGGAAGAAGCCCCCAGATCCTGGGTTTGGAACGTGCAGCTCCAGTCACTGTGGCCATTTGGGGAGTGAATCAGTGAATGGAAGATCTGGTTTCTACTTTCGTTCTGTAACTCTGTTTTATTTATATATGACAGTATATGTATATAATATATATATAATATTCTTAAATATGATATTATATATTTACAAATAAATAAACCTTTTAACAAAATAATAGATTGAGCCTGGTACAGGGACTCAATTGGATAATCCCCTCCCCTGAAAGTGCCAGGATCCCATATGGGCTCAAGCTCATGATCTGACTGCTCCACTTTCCATCCAGTTCCCTGCTTGTGGCCTGGAAAAGCAGCAGAGGACAGCACAATGCCTTCAGACCCTGCACCCATGTGGGAGACGAGGAAGCAGCTCCTGGCTTCAGATTGGCTCAACTTTGGTTGTTGCAGCCACTTGGGGAGATTCTGCCTTGATCAGCATTTGGGGAGTAAACCAGCAAATGATTTAATAAAATGAAAAAATTAAAAATATATAGATATACATTTTTAAAAAGATTTATTTATTTTTATTGGAAACACAAACCAGATTTACAGAGAGAAGGAGAGACAGAAAGATCCCCTATCCGTTGGTTCACTTCCCAAATGGTTGCAATGGCTAAAGTTGAGCTGACCTGAAGCCAGAACCCAGGGTCCCCTTGGGGTCTCCTATGCAGGAGCAGGGACCATAGGTTTCTGGGACATCTTCTAATGACTTTCCAGGTCATAACAGGGAGCTGGATGGGATGTGGAGCATCTGGGACTGGCACCGGTACCCAGATGTATCCCAGTGCTTGCAAAGTAAGGATTTAGCCATTGAGCCATATATTTTAAACTGAAAATCTAGGAGTTATTCCTTGATCTGATTCCACCAAGGCAACTTCAGGCATGACTCAAATCTCAATAAACCTACAGCAGGTGAATTTTGTATGGCTCATGAATTATGTTACAGATAACCAAATGGTCCTTGACAGACACAAGGTTTCCCTTCTCTGTGGCTTCCCATCTAAAGCACGTTTAGATTTTAGCACAATTTTTTAAAAAAGATTTATTCATTTTCATTGGAAAGTTATATATACAGAAAGAAAGATATGGAGAGAGTAAGATCTTCCATCTGCTGGTTCACTCCCCAAGTGGCTGCAAAGGTTGGAACTGAGCCAATTTTAAGCCAGTAGCTTCTTTCGGGTCTCCTACACTGGTGCAGGTTTCCAAGGTTTTCGGATGTCCTATACTGCTTTCCCAGTCCACAAGCAGAGAAAAGGCTGGGAAGTGGAACAGCTGAGGCATGAACTGACACCCATATGGGATCCCAGCCCATGCAAGGCAAGAACTTTTGCCACTTGGCAATCGTGTCAGGCCCTGTTTTTACTTTTTCAAAAGATTCATTTCTTTGAAAGCCATCATTTGGTGCCCACCTATTGTATTAGCAAGAAAGCAGATTTGAACCACAGGAGACAGAACTTGAACCAGCACTCTGATATTGGATGTAACATTTCAAATGGAGTGCTTAACCCACTGTGTCACAGTCCTGCCCACATTTACTCTTGAGTGATTCAAATCCAGTATATATGTTGTATAGTGCGCTAAACACCCTTTATGCACCAGTCATTGCCCTAGCCACAAAGGACTTCTTTTCTTTTTTTTTAAATAATAAATTTATTATATTTTTGATGATGTGGACATAATTGAAAGGGACGCATGGATTATGGCTCATGGATTACATTGTGGCATCATATTTCCCAAGAGACTTTTGTGTTTCCTTTTTGTCACTCACGTGTTGGTTACTCAGTGGTGCATTTTTTCATGGTGCTGTAATTTGTTGTCGATGTTGCTGTGCTATTCTAACTCATACCAGTTGTTGACCTGGTTTCATGGCTTTTCAATTATGGAAATGTATGATGGAGTACTGGGGTCTACCATATACAGATATAGGGGAATAACAGAACATGCACCCCTGCTTTCAGACGAAAGACAGATTCCCAATGAAACTGTTGGGCATGTGTAGACAATGGGATGCTGGACTGTCTGATATTGTCTGTACCAACAATGTTGGGGTACACTTAAATAAGAGACCAATAGAATTCCTTATGAAGGAATATACAATATACTATTGTAGTAAAATGGGGAAAATCTGTCAAGGGGTGGGAGTTTGGGGGGTAGTCCTAGACTATACAAAATTGCACCACATAATTCAAAATCCAAAATAAAAATATATTTAAAAAAAAATTTATTCCCTGACCTCCAATTAAAAAAAAAAAAAAAGACTTATTTTTACTGAACTGACAAATTTACAGAAGCAGGCAGAAAGCTTCCATTTGCTGGTTCACTTCCCAAATGGCCACAATTGCTGGAGTTGAGATGATCCAAAGCCAGGAGCCCAGAGCTGCTTCTGGTATAGAGTTCAAAGGCTTTTGGCTGTCCTCCATTGCTTTCCCAAGCCATAAGCTGGATGGGAAGTGGAGCATACAGGACTTGAACCAGAGCCCACATGGGATGCTAGCACTTAAAGGTGGAGGATAAGCCAATTAAACCATTGCAGTCCTTAAATTTATTCTTTTATTTGAAAGACAAAGGAGAAGGAAAAGAGAGAGGGTAGGAGAATGAAGGAGAGAAAGGAAGAGAAGGAGAATGAGGAAGCAGAGGAAGAGAGATCTTCCATCTATTGGTTACTTTCCAAATGGTTACAACAGCCAAGGGGCAAACAGGTCAAATTCAGGAGCCAGATATCCATCCTGGTGTCCCCAGTGTGAAGGAGGGGCCCAAGCACCTGTACGATCTTATATTGCCTTCCCAGGAACATTAGCAGGAAACGGGACACAAAAAGTAAGAACAGGGACTAGGCCCAGCACTCAGATATTAGATGTTTACCCTGAAAGCTGTCACTTATCACTCTCAACGCTGGGCCCCGAGGGAAAGCTTTGGGACAGGATTTTGCTGCAGCAAATGCTACTTGGGACACCTGCATCCTTTATCAGAATGCCTGGTTTAAGTCTTGGTTCTTTTTTTGATTCAATTCTAGCTGAAGCACACCTTGGCAGGCACCAGTGATGGCAAGAACTTGGGTTCTTGCAACTCAGGAGAGATCAAGACTGAGTTCCAGGATCCTGGTTTAACTGAGCTCAGCTCTGGGTGTTTTGGGCATTTTGGGGAGTGAACAGGCATAGGGAAGATCTCTTTCATCTGTCCTTCTTTGTGTCTCCTTCAAATAAAATGAAAATAAGAAAATTAAATCTGATCTATTTACAGAGATTAAGGTCCTTAATGATATTTTTCCACAGAGAAACACCTGGAAGTTAAAAATGTCAGCAAATCAACAGAGAAGTGAAAGTTTTCTCAATAAAATGATTATAAGTCACTTAAGGGCACAACCTGTCTCATAGATCTTTTATTTTTTTAATTTTTAATTAAAATACATTTTTTTGGTTAAGATTTAGTCCTATTTTTTGGAAAAGCAGATTCACAGGGAGAGGGAGAGACAGAGAAAAGGATCTTCCATTCACTGGCCCACTCCCCAAGTGGCCGCAATGACCGGAATCAAGACAGTCCAAAGTCAGGAGTCAGGGGTCAGGAGCCTCCTCCAGGCCTCTCATGCAGGCAGAGTTCCAAGGACCTGCACCGGACCCCAAGGTCCCCTTAGGGAATAAGCAGGGAGCCAGAAGGGAAGCAGAACAGCTGGGACATGAACTGGTGCACACAAGGCAAGGACTTCAGCCCCTAGATTTTGTGGAACTTTGTAATTTTTGAGATCATCTATACTTTAGGGAAACATTTAAATTAACATTTCTTTTGGAAAATTGTTCAAAATGCCTTACCTTTTTCCATCTCAGTAAGACAGTTACTCATCTTCTTAAGGAGGCTGTCCATTTCCTCTATCCTTATCTGAAGTTTCTCCCTCTCTTGCTAAACATGAAACAACACAGATTATAAAATTAATCCCCTTAATGAATCATCAGAAATAATTCTAATTGCTGATATAAAACTGCTACACTTAAATCATGACAAGAGAAATCTTAAATGAAGGTCAATGCTTCAGGTCTGCACTTAGGATTGATACTGCTCTAAAAGGAATATTCCACATGATATTTCCCATACTTTCTTCGCAAGGCAAAGTTTTTTTGTGCACAAAGTCCTCAAAGGATGATTATTGGGAAATGCAACTTTAAACCCAAGCACGCATACAGTTTTCATGGACAATGAGGAAGAATATACTCTGGTCTTTAGCAATGGAGACCACAATCTTGTGTATTTTACTTCAATATGAATAATGGATACTATTTGGCATGAAGCACATGCTTATGTTAGTGTTTTTTCTTCAGTGTTGCTCAAGAAGTCAGGATTTGCCACTTTTGAATAACTGAACCTCACCTCTTAGGCATAACTGTAAGCTTTTGCCCAAGTTCATCCTCATATCTCTCAAAGAACATTCTTCAAACTCAACTACCACTAAATATGAGTTGTAATTGTTCTTTCTTTCCACGCTGTTAACTTTTTCAAATTACCTGAGCTGAGTGCACCAGCTTGCTGTACAGAGCCACTTTTCCTTGATGGGTGAAGACTTTGGTCATCTTGGTAAAACATGACTTTATTTTGTTAAGGTAAGCCCCAAAGGTCTTCAGCTGTAAGGGAGAGTTAAAGAGGATACTACACTAAACAAATGAATCAGAAGAGTAAACAGTCTAGGTAGGATTTTCAGCTGTCCTGGACAAGGATTTGCCCATCTTGCACTGTGTCTTCTATGGTGGGACACTTCTCACATGGAAATTTAATTTCATATAATTGTTCAAGAACAGAATGAAACATCTGAATTTTAGCTGTTGCCTTTCATTCACTTATTTCTACAGTAAATTAAACAATGATAAGCTTTTAGTTAACAAAACTCTCAATATTACATTGATTCACTTAATTATGAATAAGAAAATAGCCCTTACCTAAGTTTTTTTCAAATACATTAGGAGACATGTGAAATGGCTTGCTTATTAATTAGTTAAAGTTAGCCTTTTATCCATCTGTAATTAATTAAAAAGCAAATGGAAGGAACTCCAAATAAACTTTAATTATATCTCATATATTAAAATATGATAAAGGACTCATAACTAATTACAGAGAAGCATTTGTTTTACCACACTGTCCAAAATGTGCACATTGATTCTGAATCAGAAAACGAGCACAGTACCTCTGCATCAGAATAGCATCTCATTTTTTCCCACAGGTTTCTATTTATATCAGTTAACAGTTTATCTTGGTTCAATGAAGAAAGCTTTAATCTGAAATACAGAAGTTAATTAGCATGGAGTTCAGAAGCTACTTTCAATGAATTAATTTAGGTTTATGGGCATATTCAGTTAAAAAAATTATTTGAGAAGCAGAATTATAGAGGAGGAGAGGATGAGAAAGAGATCTTCCATCTACTGGTTCAATCCCAGTCCACAGCTGCTCAATGAGGGGGACTTGGTCAACCAACAGAACTTGGAAAGATTATCCAACCTGGTACAACGAAGCCAACACTGTCTCAGAACTATCAAGACCACACATGTAACACTCTCACAATATTTATCCCCACATGGGGGTGTCTAAGGCGTCATCAAAGGAGTTATCTTCATTCCTGGGTGCTGATGCAGTTTGACAACAAGGAACAGTCCCCTCCCCATTCCCTCTAGCAGACCAGGAGAATAAAAAGATAATTGGGAAAAACTTATTTGAAAGGTAGAATTAGAGAGAGGGAGAGGTTGAGAAAAAGATCTTCCAGATGCTAGATCAATCCCGACTGCTTCACTCCACAAAGGGCTGCAACAGCCAGGGCTGAGCCTGTCCAGGAGTCAGAATAAGAGCTTATTTCAACTCCCCTGCATGGGCAGCAAGGGCCTGAGCACGAGGGCAATCTTCTGTTGCTTTTCTCAGATCACTAGCAGGGAACTGGATTGGTAAAGAAGCAGGCAAGGAACAAACTAGCACCACATGAGATGCCAGCAATACAGGTGGCAGCTTTACAACACTGCCTACTAAAGGAGATTTTAGGTGATTAACAAAACAAGGTTGCCTAGAGATGAATGTCTACTTAGTTGCTAATTATACTGCCAATACACTATTTGTATTACTTAAGAAGATTAATTTCGGGGCCAGCACCATGGTGTAGCTAGCTAAGCTGCCTGCAGTGCTAGCATCCCATATGGCCACTGGCTCATGTGGAACCTGCTCCACTTCCAACCCAGTTCCCTGCTTATGGTCTAAGAAAAGTGGACAATGGCTCAAGTCCTTGAGATCGCCTACTCATGTGAGAGACCTGGAAGAAGCTTTTGGTTCCTGGCTTTGCATCATCTCAGTTCCAGCAACTGCAGGCATTTGGGGAATGAACCAGCAGATGGAAAATCTCTCTCTCATGCTGTTTCTCATTCTCTCTTTAACTCTGCCTCTCAAATAAAAAGTCTGGGGCCCGGCACCATGGCCTAGCAGCTAAAGTCCTTGCCTTAAACGCGCCAGGATTCCATATGGATGCCGGTTCTAATCCTGGCAGCTCCACTTCCCATCCAGCTCCCTGCTTGTGGCCTGGGAGGGTAGGTGAGGACAGCCCAAAGCCTTGGGACCCTGTATCCACGTGGGATACCCGGAAGAGGTTCCTGGCTCCTGGCTTCGGATTGGCATAGCACCGGCCAGTGCGGTCACTCGAGGAGTGAATCACTGGACGAAGATCTTCCTCTCTGTCTCTCCTCTCTGTATATCTGACTTTGTAATGAAAATAAATCTTAAAAAAAAAATAAAAATTGTCTTAAAATTACTTTCAAGTTTCTATTTAGTTAAGATTTATTTATTTGAAAGGCAAAGTAAGGGGAAAAACTAGAGAAGAGATTTTTCATCAGCTAGTTCACTCTCTAAATGGATATGATAGCTGGAGCTGTGCGAGGCCCAATCAGGACCCAGGAGTCTCATCTAGGTCTCTCATGCTGGTACAGGAACTTAGAACTTTCTGCCAGGAACGTGGAGGGAGACCCCAGTGCCAACCAAACTGTACCAGTTGTATCACCTAGACTGTATCAATTAAAAACAAATAAACAAAAAAACCCAAGAGAAAAAAACTGTACAACTGAAGAAAAAAAATGCTTAGAATATTTCTAATCATCAAATGCAAACTTACTTGATGAAATGTAAATTAATGTTTATTGGTCAGTTGAGAGTAAGAGGTTGGAGGCTTGTTACAGTGAACCATTTCAGTTATTTCTGGCATATTAATTTGAATATGATAAAGGCACAATTAATATAAGTATGATTAAAATATTCAAGACTAAGTAGAATCAACTATGGCTCCACCATTTATGTGCAACACCAAGTCAGAGTGTTGTTTGAGCTGGAGTCTCCGCAAAATTAGTTACTGAGACAAATAATGAATCCAAGTGGCTTCCAAGAGAAGAGATTCAGGAAGGCACAATGAGGAGTTGAGGAAAGTGAAACCAAATAAGGATAAACCCAATACCTAGTGCATGGCCAGCTTGTGACTGAGATTCATGGACACGCTTAATAATAATGTGGAAAATGCTTCAGAATGTTTCCCACAGGGATGGAGAGATTTGAGCACAGGTATCTATAGGACACTTGTCCACCATGGCCTGTGTCTCTGGCTGCCTAACTGACCTTTGATGATCAAGAACAGCAAAGATGAGAAACCTTCCTCAGGAAGCTGCACCATGAGGGACCTACCCGCCACCACTGCACGCAAGTCAAAGTGACCAACGTCAATGCAAATATGAGCTTCAAGACTGAGAAGCTGAAAGTCAGGTGGTTGAGAGTTTTGAACTAAATGGAAATGCTCAGCCAGCTTCTCCTATTTAGTGATAATCTCTGTGTTGTCTCCTCCCATCCACTTCTCCGGAATGTCTCATATACATGTATTATAATGCACATTATGTGTATCAAAACCGTTAAACTGGAATTCACACACTATGTTTTGCTGGTAAAAATTAAATATCTTTTAAACATTAAAAAAAAAAAAAACAACTTTGGGCCATCTTGGGCCTAGCGTGATAACCTAGTGGCTAAACTCCTCATTTGTAATGCACCGGGATCCCATACAGGCACCGATTCTTATCCCAGTAGCCCCGCTTCCCATCCAGTTCCCTGCTGTGGCTTGGGAAGGCAGTCGAGGACAGCCCAAAGCCTTAGGACCCTGCACCACATGGGAGACCTGGAAGAGGCTCTGGGCTTCTAGTTTCAGATCAGTGTTGCAGCCACTTGGAGAGTGAACCAGTGGATGAAAGACTTTCCTCTCTGTCTCCCCTTCACTCTGTAAATCTGCCTTTCCAATAAAAATAAATAAATCTTTAAAAAATTGTGGTATGTAGAAACAACAACAGCAACAATAACAACAAATCTTTGGGCCATCTTGTACCGCTTTTCCAGGCTCATTGACAGCAGCTGGATCAAAAGTACAATAACCAAGGCTCAAACCAGCACTGGCATTACAAGCAGCAGTTTAACCCGTTATGCCACACCACTGGCTCCTCAAATGCTTATTTTTTGTTTTTTATTCTTATTTTCTAGTATACAGTTTTGTAGGTAGGGCTTCCTCCCACATGCACAGCAAGGACCCAAATCCTTTAGCAACACTATCTGTTGCTTCCTAGAAAACGTGTAAGGAAGCAGCTGAATCAGAAGGGGAGCAACCAGGGCTTCGGCACTCTGTATGTCCCAAGAAGTGGCTTGGCCCACTGTATCACAATATCCATATTGTTTTCTGTATTTCTTTAGGTCTTTTAACCTAAACATACACATTTACTGCCATTCAAAAAATGCAGGTTGCAGGGGCCAGCATTGTAGCATAGTGGATAAAAGCTGATACCCATAAAGACAGCATCCCATATGACCACTGCCAATCTGTGTCCTGTGTACACTGCTTCAAACCCAGATCCCTACTAAATATGACCCAGATGCTTGTGCCGCTGTCACCAACACAGGAGGCCTGGATGAAGCACCTGCTTCCTGGCTTCAGCCTGGCACAACCTTGGCCATTGTGACCACCTGGGAAGTGATTCAGCAGACAGAAGTCTCTTTCTCTACCGCTCTGTGTAATTCTTTCAAATAAATAAAATTGCCGAACACTGCCTACACTCTCCCTGCTGCAAGATGGTGGCAGCATGGTGGAGTCAGGAGCCTAATCCAGTTCCGAAGATCAAATAAATAAAATTTTTAACAAGAAGGAACAGTAAACAATAAAAAGTAAACAGATTTTGTGATGTACCTTCTATTTTATAACTTCATCACATTTTACTTCAGATATCCCGCTTTTTCTTTTTTAAAGATTTATTTATTTTTACTGGAAAGTCAGATATACAGAGAGGAAGAAAAAGAGGAAGATCTTGTGTCCGATGATTCATTCCCCAAGTGGCAAAATGGCTGGAGCTGAGCCAATCTGAATCCAGAAGCCAGGAGCCTCTTCCTGGTCTCGCACATGGGTGCAGGGTCCCAAGGCTGTGGGCTGTCCTCAGCTGCTTTCCCAGGCCACTAGCAGTGAATTGGATGGGAAGTGGGGCTGCCGGGAGTAGAACTGGAGCTCATATGGGATCCTGTCACATTCAAAATGAGGATTTTAGCTGCTAGCCTACCGTGCTGGGCCTGACATCCCGCTTTCTAACTTATCAAAACATGTTTATGTTGTGTTTTTTTACAATATGCCACTACTATATACATTAGTATGTTCTTAAGAATAAAGTTATTTTGGCCCAGTGTAATGGCTCAGTGGCTAAATCCTTGCCTTCCAGCTGCTAGGATCCCATATGGGCACCAATTTGTGTCCCGGCTGCTTTACTTCCCATCTAGCTTCCAGCTTCTGGCCTGGAAAACCAGCAAAGGATGGTCCAAGTGCCTAGAACCGTGCAACCACATGGGAAAGCTGATTGGCTCAGCTCTGGCTATTGCAGCCTCTTAGGGTATGAACCAGGAGATGGAAGATCTCTCCTTCTCACTGTAAATCTGCTTTCTAATTAAAAAAAAATTTAAAAATTAATAGATAAAGTTATATTAGGCCAATATTGTGGCACAGAAGTTTGGCCACTTCCTGCAGTGCTGGTATCCCATATGTGTATTGGTTCATTCCTAGCTGCTCCACTTCTGATCCAATTCCCTGCTATTGTATCTGGGAAAGCAGTGGGGAATGGCCCAAGCCTTGGGCCCCTGCACCTACGCTGACCATCTGGAAAAAGCTCAGGGTTCTGCACAGTCTCAGCTGTTGTGGCCATTTGGGAAGTGAAGCAGCAGATGAAAGATCTCTCCCTCTGTCACATCAATTAATATCATCAACTTTTCCTCCTACCACTATTATTCTAGAGAAAACCTTATCCTATAGACTATTTGCTGATCAAAAACAAAAACACACAAAAACTGCACAAACAAAAACAAAATCAAAGCTGTCTTACTCTTCAATCTTTTGACGAAGAGCCTCACAATCTTCTTTATAAATCTCTGTCTTGGGTCCATAAACATATTGTCTTAACATCAAGTCCTCTGGAGTGGGTGGCATGCCTATAGTAAACTGAAAAACAAAACAAACAACAACAACAAAAAAATCAGTCCCCAAGAACTGGTTTCTTAAGTAAAAAACATGCACCAGAGCTAATACACATTTCAGTGAGCCTAATTTTTTTTAAAGGTCTCTAAGAAAAACATAAAGTCTCTATTATATTCATACAGCTTTTAAGCTCTAAACAGAATTTGAATTCAAGTATGTGACTTCAAAGTCTATTTCCCAACAGATGTTTAGGAGAGCTTAATGTTTCAATCTTGAAGAAATCAAAGTGGTCTGAAGGGGCTGGTGCTGTGGCATAGTATATTAAGCCTCCATCTACGGCTCTGTTTAAAGGCTCCACCTATGGCTTTTGGGCACTGGTTAATGTCTTGACTGTTTAACTCTGTTGCCCAGTTCCCTGCTCGGGGAAATGGACTGATAAAGCACTGGAGGACAGCCAAGGACCTTGGCCCATGGACCCATGTGGGAAACCATGAAGAAGCTCCTGGCTCCCGGCTTTGAAAGCCACTGTGCCACTGAGGAATAAATCTCTATAAATCTGATCAGCCTTTCCAATTTAAAAATAAATAAATCTTTAAAAAACAGAGAGAGAAAATTTTCATTTTGCTAAAAAAAAACCCCAAAGCTTTAAAATCTGTCAGAGGTGCTGCATTGAGGTAAAGTCACAATCTTTAACGCTGGCATCCCATATGGGTGCCTATCCATGTCCCAGCTGCTCCACTTCTGACACAGCACCCAGCTGATGGCCTGGGAAATGCAGTGGAATATAGTTCAAATGTTTGGGTCCTTCCCACTCATGTGGGAGATTAGAATGAAACTCCTGGCTGTTGGCTTCAGCCTGATGCAGCCCTAGCTGCTGTGGTCACTTAGGGTGTATGCCAGAGAATATCTCTTTCTGCCGCTCTCTTTAATCCTGACTTTCAATAAAATAAATTCATAAATCTTAAAAAAATCTGTCTGAACTGATAAAAATTGTTTTTTTTTTTAAGATTTATTTATTTTTATAGAAAAAGCAGAGAAACAGAAAGGAGGAGAGACACAGGAAGATCTTCCATCCATTGATCAACTTCCTGAGTGGCTGCAATGGCCAGAATTTCACTGTTCCAAACTAGGAGCCAGAAGTCTCCTTAGGGTCTCCCATGTGGATGCAGGGTCCCAAGGCTTTGGGCCATCCTCACCTGCTTTCCCAGGCCAAAAGCAGGAAACTGGATGGGAAACAGGGCAGCCAGGACATGAACCAGTGTCCATATGGGATCCCAGCATGTGCAAGGCGAGGACTTTAGCCACTAGGCTACCGTGCTGGGTGCAGAATTGATAAATTTCTTAAAAAGCGTAATTTTTAATATATGGACAATCCTTTTTTCCTACCTCTTAGTATATTTGTTTAAAACATTTGTTTTTTTTTTTATCTATTTCAAAGGCAATTTAGAACTGGCATGATGGCTCACTGACTAATCCTCACATTGCATGCACCAGAATCTCACATGGGCACCAATTTTTGTGCCAGCTGCTCTACTTCCCATCCGAGTCACTGCTTGTGGCCTGGGAAAGCAGTGGTGAATGGCCAAAGGCCTTGAGTTTTTGTACCCACCTGGAAGATCTCTGTGTCTGTTTCTGTAACTGACTTTCAAGTAGAAATAAATACATCTTTTAAAAAAAAATACATCATTAAAAATATATGGGCCCAGCACAATAGACTAGTGGCTAAAGTCCTCGCCTTGCATGTGCCAGGATGCACTGGTTTGTGTCCCAAGCTCCATTTCCCATTCAACTCTCTGCTTATGGCCTGGGAAAGTAGATCAGGACGGCCCAAAGTCTTAGGTCCCTGCACCTGTTTGGGAGACCCAGAAAAGGCTCCTGGCTTTGGTTCAGCTCAGCTCCAGCTGTTGTGGTCACTTGGGAGTGAATCAGAGAACGGAAAAGCTTTCTGTCTCACCTTCTCTCCGTAATTATGACTTTTCAATAAATAAACCTTTAAAAAAAAATCTGATGACCCTGGGGCAACAGGCTAGCAATTGAAGCTCTCACCTTACAAGCGCCAGTATCCCATGTGGGTGACTGTTTGTATCCTGGTTACTATACTTCCCATCCATCTTCCTATTGTGGCTGTAAGGGGAGGTGGGGAGGGACCCTTAAGGATGGTCTTGGGACCATGCACTCACATGGGAAACGCAGAAGAAGCTCCTGGCTCCTGCCTTTGGATCAGTTCAACTCTGATCATTGTGGACACTTGGGTAGTGGACTAGAAAACAGAAGATCTTTCTGTCTGTCCTCTCCATAATTCTGACTTTCCAACCGGAGAAATAAATAAATCTTTATTAAAAAATTGACAAACTTAAGAGAAAAAAATAGGGCCTGGCACGATAGCGTAGCAGTTAAAGTCCTTGCCTTGAAAGCGCCAAGATCCCATATGGGTGCTGGTTCTAATCCTGGCGGCCCGCTTCCCATCCAACTCCCTGCCTGTGGCCTGGGAATGCAGTTGAGGAAGGTCCAAGACTTTGGGACCCTGCACCCGTGTGGGAGACCCAGGGGAGGCTCCTGGCTTCAGATTGGCACAGCTCCAGCCATTGTGGCTGCTTGGGGCGTGAACTATCGGTTGGAAGATCTTCCTCTCTGTCTCTCCTCTCTGTATATCTGCCTTTCCAATTAAAAAAATAATAATAAATCTTTTTAAAAAAGAGAAAAAAATATTTCCATGTCAGTGATATGTTTTTCTATTAATCTTTTAAGTTGACTATTGATTTCTATATTTATTCTATTATTGTATGATTTTGAAAAATGGTTATTACAAAGTCCTATTAGCCTTTTTGTAATCCAAAATTACTGAAAAAATAGATCCAAAATATACTTACTACAGAAAATTTTCTATAGAAAACCTGGCTTACTTTGGTGTTTTGGTTATTCTTGTTCTTTTTTTTTTTTAATTCGAATAGAAATTTACTTATTCTTAAATTTTATACCATTTTATGACACAGTTTCATAGGCTCTGGGGTTCCCACAGCACCTCCCCAATACTGAATTCCTCCATTTTGTTATAGTAGTACAGATTATATCCTGTCATGATTCCTTCATTGCGGGCATGGACCATGTGGAGAGTCCAGCATCCCATTGTCCAGATAAATTCAACAGTTTCATTGGGAAACCATCCTTTGTCTGAAAGTAGAGCTGGTAGAATATCATCTCCTCTAATGAGATGTCACTACACATCTTCAACAACAGGAAGAAACATTGAAATTAACCACATCATGAAGCCAATCAAGATGGTATTGAGTGACCAACATGTTAGAAAACACAAGTTCTTAATCACATCCTGTAACTATTTCCTTAACACCTCAATTTTGTATATATACAACCAGCTGCTACAAACCCTCTTCTTTTTTCTCCCAAGCTAACATGTTTTTGAGTTTAACCTAAATCAGCAAGGCACTATTTTTGCGCTGTTTTATTTTTTTGCTTTGGACAATTGCTTGATTTAATGCTGTTCAGCTTAGAAAACACAATGCATTCTAGCTGAGCTGATTATTCCTAAGAGATTGCACTTACTTTGGCTGGGAGATTGCTCTGTCGGGGTTTCTGTATCAAGATGTGGACCTGAAGAAGTATAAAGAACTCCCTTATCGTTATTCTCCCATTTTTGAGTTTCTGAGGAAAGAAAAAACAGTTTGTATAACTTTTCAAGGTAAGCACATTTGCACTACAAATACTTCAAAGGTTTCTAAATAGCTTAAAATTTATAAAACATTTTATTTTTTATTGCATGGTATATACATGGGTGGATTTGTTTTTATTGGGGCAGGTATTATGGCATAGTTAATATTCTGCCTATAGGGCCCAATGCAAAAGCTTAGCACCAAAAGTCCTAGCCTTACACATGCAGGATTCAATAGGGGCACCGGTTATAACCCAGCTCCCTGCTTGTTGCCTGAAAAAGCAACTGAGAATGGCCCAAAACCTCAGGACCTTGCACCCACGTGAGAAACCCGGAAGAAGCTCCTAGCTCCTGGCTTCAGATTGGCTCAGCTGTGGCCACTGCAGCTGCTTCAGAAGTGAATCATCAAATGGAAGATCTTCCTCTCTGTCTTTCCTTCTCTCTGTACGTCTGACTTACCAACAAAATTAAATAAATCTTTTAAAAAACAAAAAGATTCTGCCTACAGTGCTGACAACTCATATCCGAGTCCAACTGCTCCATCCAGTTCTCTGCCCATGTGACTGGGCTCCTGTACCCATCTGGGAGACCTAGATGAAGTTTCTGACTCCTGGCTTTTTCCTGGCCAGCCCTGACTGTTGCAGCCACTTGGGAGAGTGAACCAACAGAAGGAAGACCTCTCTGTTTCTCCCTTTTTTTTTTTTTTTTAATTTTATTGCAAAGTCAGATATACACACAGGAGGAGAGACAGACAGGAAGATCTCCTGTACAATAATTCACTCCCCAAGTGACAGCAAAGGCCGGTGCTGCACCAATCCAAAGCCAGGAGCCAGGAACTTCCTCCAGGTCTCCCATGTGGGTGCAGGGTCCCAAGGCTCTGGGCCATCCTCAACTGCTTTCCCAGGCCACAAGCAGAGAGCTGCTAGGATTAGAACCGGTGCTCATATGGGATGCTGGCACGTTCAAGGCGAGGACTTTAGCCACCAGGTTACCACGCTGGGCCCATCTCCCTCTTGGTAACTGCCTTTCATTTAGATAAAACTAACAAGTGAAATTGATTCAGAAGATTGAGTGACAGAGACACAGAGAGAGAACAAGATCTTCCATTCTCTGGGTTCACTCTCCAAAGGACTGCATTGGCTGGGACTGGGTCAGAGCAGTCAATAGCCTAAAACTCCATCTGGGTCTTTCACATGGATGACAGGGTCCAACTACTTGAGCCATCTTCCACAACTTTCCCAGGAGCATTAGCAGGGAGCTGGACTGTGGTATAGAATGCCACTTTAGGCAAACTTGTCATTATGCCAGCCAAAATTAAAGCCTTACAAAATTATGTATGTATATATGTATGTATGCATGCATGCATGCATTTGAGAAGGAAAGACACAGGGATAGAGAGAGACAGAATTCCATTCTGGTTCATTCCCCAAATGCCCACAACGGTTGTGTTAGGCTGGGCCAAAAAGCAGCCAGGATCCAGGAACTGAATCCAAGTTTGTCATAACGGTGAGTCATCATCTGTTGCTGCCTATCACGTAATGCCTCATGCATTAGCAGGAAGTTGGGACTGGGAGTGGAGTGAGGACTCGAACACAGACACTCTGATATGACACGAGAGTATCCTAACCAGTGTCTTAACTGCTGTCCCACACAAGTCTTTTAATTATTTCTACATACTACAGAATAGATGTTTTTCTCCTTCAAAGTTCGTGTGTAAACTTAACACCTAAAGCCATATGTTAATGCTATTTGGAATTGAGTTCTTTAGGAAGTAATCAGGATTAGATGAGATCAGGACAGTTGGGAATTCACAGCTCCACAATTAGCAAGTTTGTTCTTGCTCTCCCAGGCTGCTGGACACATGCTACTGCTATGCTCTTGGACTTCCCGATCTCTAATTAACTTCTACTCTTGTAAATATCTAACAGGTAGAATTCAAGTAATCTATAGTTAATTGTTAGTTGACTCCTTGATAAAGAAAAGTAGCCTATTTTCAATATTTTTAACTTAGAACAAATTAGTTGTATCAGGTGTGAGAAATACTTTTAACATACCTCCTTTAAACTCTCTTCACAAATGGCATCTCTGAGAAACTGCGATTCCATCTGACTATTGCGGAGTGCTAGAAGTTGAACAAATTCATGGATGAACAAGATTAAAGTCTAAAATTCATTTTAGTTATCTTTCAGATTTAGGTGTGGTTCAAAACCCTGAGGGTGTTCACTGGGATGTTTCTGGGAAGACCGCTGACAGTACAGTCTGCTGCAGTTTGAAGGCTTTAATCACTCTCTACTAATTATAAGCCTCTAAAAGAAAACACTTCTCAATTCATTTTAATAGCTATTAAAAATAAATATTGTTTCACCTCTCAACTCTTAATAATACACAATGTTCAATTATTCCCTAAGATGAGATATATTAATTATCAGTCATGTAAGGAAATAGCTGCTGTTATTTAGTGTCATGAAGATCTTACTGCTGAAGTCCAGAGAGGTTCCATCGGCCTTGATTGAATCCAGAGAGCTGCTGCAACTAGACGGAGTCCTGCTCAGGCTTTTGATCAACACACTGTTAGCATTTCTGTCCATACTCTCCTCAGTTTGGTGATCAAAAACCTGAAAATATAAATTAGGGACATTATCAGAATAAAATTACGACAGTATATACCAACAATGGCTAAATATTTATTGAAAATTCACAAAAATATCATTTCTACCATAAAATGTATCTATAATTCCTATGAAAAGAATTAGAATCACAGGCAATCTAAGCCTTTAATTAGAAATAATTTTATTCAAAATATATATCTATGCATTATACTATATGAGCAGACAGTATCTAAGTCACACATCAGTATCTAACACACATTCTCAGATATTTCTATGTCATTTCTATGTCTTTAAGTTATCAAATGTTTACCTATCCAATTATTCAACTACCAACTCTCCAAGTCACAGCTACCACACTGCATTAAACCAGACTAGAATACTGGTTTTATGCGGTGGCCTTGGCAAGAGCTCCTCTTCAACTGAAAAAGACTCCTTTGGCTGATATGAAAATGCATGTGGTCCTACTTTTATCATTTAACCATTTGTCTTCACAGCTTCAAATATAATCTCATCAGTCTTACGTATGTCTTTTGAAGATAGAATATTTTTACCTAAATGCTATAAACTACATGAGAGAACTACCAGTATCTAAAACAATACGTGCAACGCAAGAGACTCAACATACTTACTGAACAAAACAACAGAATATTTTATTTTCATACAATCTTATTTACTTAAATTTATATTACTATTACCACTGTTTCAAAGATTTTATTTATCTGTATGGAATAGACAGGCCTTCTATCCACTGCTTCACTCCCCAAGTAACCTCGGCAGTCGTGTCTGTGCTAAGCCAAAGCCAGGAACCAGGTGCTTCTTCCTGGATTCCCGCATGGATGCAAAGGCCCAAGCACTTAGGCCATCCTCCTCTGCTTTCTCAGGCATGTCAGCAGGCAGCTACGACAGAACTGGAACAGCAAGGACTTGAACCAGAACATGTATGGGATACTGCCACAATGTCAGACTCTATCACTTCATCTTAAAGAGGCAAATTAATTTTCTAAGTTTGTTTATGCATTTATTAACAGCGTTTAAACTATTTTATTAATCAGTCTTTGCTACATTCTAACCTTTACTTCTCCACTTACAAAATTTGGTATCATTGATAACTTTCATTCTCCCCAACTTAACCAAATTAGGATTTCATGAATCAAAAATAAAAACAATTGCCAGGACCAGCATTGTGGAACAGAGAGTTAAGTCATTGCCTGTGATGCCAGCATCCACCATGAAGGCCAGTATGTGACCCAATCGCTCTGCTTCTAATTCAGATCCCCTTTGCTAGCCTGGTAAAAGCAATGAAGGATGACAGACATACTGGGATCCCTGCATCCGCATGTGTGACCTGGAAGAAGCTCTAGAATTCCATCCAATGTGGTCATTTATAAGAATGAACCATTATATGAAACATCTACCTTTCTCTGTGTGCATCTTTTTAAAAAAATATTTATTTATTTTTATTGTAAAGTCAGATATATAGAGAGGAGGAGAGACAGAGAGGAAGACCTTCCATCCAATGATTTACTCTCAAAGTGGCCACAATAGCTGGAGCTGCACCAATCCAAAGCCAGGAGCCAGGAACTTCCTCCAGGTCTCCCACATGGGTGCAGGATCCCAAGGCTCTGGGCCATCATCGACTGCTTTCCCAGGCCACAAGCAGGGAACTGGATGGGAAGTGGAGCTGCCGGAATTAAAACCAGTGCCCATATGGGATCCCGGCACGTTCAAGGCAGGGACTTTAGCAGCTAGGTCACCGCGCAGGGGCATCTGTGTGTATACTTTTCTCTATGTAACTCTTTCAAATAGATAAAAAGCAAAATTTTAAAGAAATGCTTTTTAGTCCTAATATATTTATAATTCTGAACATGACCTTTCAAACTACACAGAGGGGTATATTCAAAAACTTCATGGAAAATAAATATTAGGGAAAAAATACATTGATTAAAATTTATATACTAAAATAAGTTTACCTTTTTTAAAAAAAAATATATTTATTTTTTATTGGAAATTCAGATATACAGAGAGGAGGAGAGGCAGAGAGGAAGATCTTCTGTCCAATGATTCATTCCAACTGGCCGCAATGGCTGCAGCCGAGCCAATCTTTATCCAGGAGGCAGTAGCCTCCTCCAGGTCTCTCATGTGGGAGCAGGATCCCAAGGTTTTTGGCCGTCCTCCACTGCTTTCCTAGGCCACAAACAGGGAGCTGGATGGGAAGTGAGGCTACCGGGATTAGAACTAGTTCCCATATGGGATTCTGGCACCTGCAAGGCGAGGACTTTAGCCTCCAGGCTAATGTGACAGATCCAATAAGCTTACATTTTAAGATAATTTCTCCACAAACTTTTTGAAGCCTTCTGGCAATCCACCCCCTAGATTCTCATATATATATAAATTAATGCTAGTAAGTCACCAGAGGAAAAGAATATTTAAAATTCCACAATTTAAACATTGGTTAATCTATTTTTTAAAAGATTTACTCATATATTTGAAAGGCACAGTCGCAGAGAGGAAGGACAGAGGTCTTCTGTCTGCTGGCTCTTTCCTAAATGGCCGCAAGAGCCAGTGCTGGGCCAGGCCAGAGTCAAGAGCCAAGCGCTCCATCTAGGTCTCCTGCTTGGGTCCTGGGGCTCAAGTATTTGGGCCACCTTCCACTGTTTTCTCAGCTGCATTAACAAAAAACTGGATTGGAAATAAACAAGCGCAACTGGAACATTATATGATGCTATTGTCACAGGCAGTCACGTCAACTGATATGACAATGCTGGTTCCAACACTCATTAATTTTGGTACAACTTTCCATTTCATTTTTTTGGAGATTATCACTTCAAACTGTTTTGAATCTACATAGAAAATTAAAAAAAAAAAAAGAAATCTACCTGCTAGCTTATTATTGAAGACAGGAATATCTCTCCTGTGTAAAAGTGAGCTTAACTAAAACTAAAACTGAAATTTAAGACTATCCTCAAGTTAAAAAAGAAAAATGAAAAGATTTATTATAGAACTTACCTCTTGCTCTTTTGTTGTATCACTAAGCTCAGACTCCCTTTTCCGGACTTTTTTCTCACTTGGAATATCTGCTTCTTCATCTTGCACCCAGGTTCTTTTTTGTCGATTAAGGGTTTCTCCTACTTTATTTTCAGATGGTGAAGTTTCATTTTGGTGTGTTTCAATCAAAGTTTTGTCCTCATCTTCTAGGCATATGGAATCTGATGAAGTAATCTCAGCAGTGCATGATGGAAGATGTTCCTCATTTATAAATTGAGACGGACTTAAGTTCAGTTTAGCTGCCACAGATGTAATGCCTGATTCCTTGCTGGAGGCTAGCTGAGATTCTATTTGATTTAAAGCAGTTGTATTTGCTGCGACCTGCTCTGCGTCATCAGTAACAGTGATACTACAATTTCTTTTGTTTGGCAATCTGGGCAAAAAGATTCCCAAAGAATGTCTCCGCATTTTATCTTTAAGAGCCTTTAATGGGTCAGAAGCAGTTTCACTTACATTATTAGAATTCTTATTTTCGTCTTTATTATCTTGAACATTGTTAGAAACTGTATCATGCATCTCAGTGACTTGCACTACACTCTTACTATGTGTCTGATTTTCTACTTCAAGTAACTGTTCTTGAGGACGTGATTTAGGAACAGCTTGAAAGTCTAAAAGCCCTTCGATTTTTCCAATCAAATTATTCAAATTTGGTGTGACATTACTAAAATATGGAGCATTAGATGCAATAACAAGATCTGCTGTATGTCTAGCATTGGCTTGTGTCTGAATGGCTTGTACAGTCAACTCTGACTTACATTCAGCCACTGGACTGTTTTCCTTCAGTTCTTTTTCACAGGCTATGGAAAACTCCTTATTACTGAGCATCTTGGGCTTATTTTCATTTATGGACGTGGAGGAAAATCCTGTAACAATACTTAAAACATTATCTACAGCTTTAGGTATTTTCATGTCATCTTTATTGACATTATTCTGTCCTTTTGGAAGCAATGCAGGTTGCTGGGGTGTGAGGTGAGGCTCAGAAGCAACACAAGTATCATCAACACAGGCCTCCATTGGATCCTTCGGAGGCTTAAAAGATACTTGCTTTGAGTTAAGTTTAGTCATCTCCCCCAGATTCTGAGAATGTATTAAAGTTTGACTAGCTAATAGATTCTGAGGTTCTTCAATCAGATCCTGATGTTTCAGTGGTGTTGTGGCACACTGGAACTGTCCTTCAGTACTGGTCTGAACAGCTTCTTGTTTCTCTAAGACAAGAGAAGGAGCTGAGGCAGTCACCCTTTCAGATGTCATGTGATGTTCACAGGGTAAAGTGTTGACATAAGCAAGATCATTTTGCAATGGGCAATTGCCTTTCTCCTTATCTTTATCACATAAGGACATGGTATTTCCCTCTAACTTACCAAAACAGGAAATAGCATTTGGTAAACAAGAATAATTATCATTTGATCCACCAATAGCAGCTACATGACTGTTTATAAAATTCATATCTTCTCTGTTTGTACAATCTAAGTGACAGCTTTCAACTCTAGCTTTTTCTGATGTAGAGGTCTGACCTACAGTCTTCCCTGTGACCTCTTCACCTGCAGTAGCTCTGTGGGATTCCATGGTTTCCGTTTCACTTTGATTTCCAGACAAAACATGATGAGGAACAATGGGTATCATAGGATGCTTTTGCTCAGTATGAGGAAAAACTTTGTTTTCTGTTGTCAGTTCTTGTTTTGTAGGGACTTTCTGAACACAGCCATCATCCTCAGAAAAACTGCCTCTTTTTCCTTTTGCTGTTCCAAATTCAGGGTATTCCTCAAATATTTTCTTTGTGTCTTGACAATCAATGAAAACAGTGTGGGACTTGGTGACTTCAAGATCGTTCTGATCATCTACATACATCACAGTTCTGTTCAGGGACCTAGTAGTTATTTTATCTGGTGCAGCAGTTTCCCATACTAGGGCAGTTGTGTGACTTCTAGTAATCTCCATGTCACCCTGTCCACAAGAATACAAAATAGTTTTAGAAGTGGAAAGCATCAAATGGAAATCTCTATCTCCCAGCACACTTTTCTTATTTGTTCCCATCATACAAACCTGGGAGGTGTCCGGATCATTTTTATCACTCTCTGAAAATACAATGGCTTTGTCATTTTTGAGCCTAAGGCTTTTTCTTCTCTGACTTCTGCCGGACAGTTCATTCAAGAACCCAGGCTTCTGTACATCTTTGATATTTTTCAATGTGGTTGGTTTAGATACTTTCATGTTATCATCACTTATAAATACTACTGCTTTCTCTACAGGATCACTATTAGACTTTTCATCCGGTATAGTTAAAGAGTTGCCTTTCGCTGCTTTATCATCACTTTTATCACTTTCTAGAAAGGGAACTTTCTCCTCAGTAGATGTCACTTTTGATTGTCGTAGGCTTCTTCTTTTGGAAACCTCAAAGTTAGGAAGCATACATTTCTCCATTGCTTGAAAATCAATAAAAACAGTGTGGCACTCTGTCATTTCTAACCCATCATGGTCATCGACAAACATTACAGTTTTGTCCACTGTAGTTATATCACCTGGTGAAACAGTTTTACATTCTAAGGCGGCTGTATGACTTTGAGTCATCTCCATGTCATCCTGCTCACCTGTATACAAAATAGTTTTTGAAGTCCCTGGCAAAGACACCAAATGGGAATCATGGTCATCTAATAAAGGCCTATAGTTTATTTCCACTGTGTAGCTCTTGGTGATGTCCATGTCATTTCCACCAGTCTCTGTTGAAAATCTAACAGTCTTATCATGTTTTAGTCTGCCAAAACTTTCCCTTCCAAAAATTTTGGTATTTTTATTTTCCTTCAGAAATCCAGGTTTCTGTACATTTTTGACTTCTAATGCATCCATATTATTAGATACAAGTACTTCAGTTTTCTCTTTAGGACTTTTATCACATTTTCCAAGTTTTATAGTTCTCTGTTTACTCATTGTTGTTCTCTGGCTAGTATGTTCTAAATTAGTTTGATCAAGTTCTTGTATTTCAGAATTGCCAAAGCCAATGACAACAGTGTGGCTCCTGGTTAGATCCATATTTTGCTCCTCTTCAGAACAAAGAAGCATCTTATCATCAGAACAGTCAGATGTGCAATCACCTAAATTTTTCTTCGGTGGATCGGGTTGCTTAGAATGCTGGCCTAGTACAGATTTCTCTGTGTGACTGTTAATAATAGCACTGCAAGTTTTCATGGCAGATTGCTCTTCTGTTGAATATAACTTCATGGCCGACAACTGGTCACTTGAGACTGTATTTCTGTTATTTCCCAGGGTTATTTGTTTATTAAGTCCACCAGAGCTGACTACATTATGACTTACTGCTGTATCCTGATTACAATCAACTGAGTGAGAAGAATCTTTACCAAGACAGGGTGAAATCGTCAAAATGTTGTCTTTTTCTTTACCCCAGGACTCAGTTTCAGACATTATCTTTGGTTGTTGGGATAGTTTGATATGACTTTTGGCCATTTTTTCCCATTCTTCTGAAGGACTTTTGCCATAACAATAAGGTTTACTGACATTCTCTGGAACCAGATTAGATACAACAGGAGCTTGACTTCCTAAGTTACTTGTGCAACTTTCAGTCAAATCCATATTGTCCCTGTCTAAGAGTTCAGTCTTTTCATTACTTAATGTAACAGATAAAGCATTTGACAAGTTCTGTTGTAATCCTTCCTTCAATGCATCAGGAATAGAGCTATAATTTACATTCATTTTCCCATTTTCTAAAACAGTTATAGAACTTGGGAGTACTGTTTCTTTTTTAGATATAGAAGCTCTCTGTCCATTTGTCTGATTTTGCTTTAAAATTTGATTATCTATTGCAACTGTGTGACTCTTGGTAATGTCCATACTATCATCTTCTGAATAAATTGTTTTCTCTAGAAGAGGCATGGCATCTGCATTGAGACATATTTTGGAACTACCATCATGTTTTAGCAAAATTTTCTCTTCTCTCATACTTGAGAAATACTTGGTCAGTTCCATGGCATCATTACAACTAGAATAAAAAACTGTCTTGTAACCTTGACTAGATGGACTAAAACACATGGATTCTTGGGTCATGGGCAATGGTCTGGTGTCCCGATTGGAAGTCTGTGTGACAGTGTGATCTTCTGTCTCTATTATATGGCCTCCGATAATACACATTTTGTCTTCAGGGTTTCTGGAGGGGTTCTGAAAAACAACACTTTGTTTATTCTCACAGGCTGCTTTCTTTTCTGGAACTTTAGTTGCATACCCTGTCATAACATTCATCATGACATTTTGACTTTGATCTTCCATTTCAGATAAATTACCTGCTGAAGGTAAAATTGGAATAGTGCTGTTAAGTGTTAAGTCCATACAGTCATTTCCAAAAATTGCAGTATCCCCTGTAAATTCCCTTGTGTTGGCATCATAGGCAATGGGAACCAATGTCTGAATATTGGCTGTATGACACTGGGTAAAATTCATCCCAGCATCTTGTTCTCTAAAGATTTGAGTCCTGTCATTACTATTCTCATCTATATTAACAGGTATATGAGTCTGAGGTATACAAGAGGCACTGCTTGATTCTTTCAAATAAATAGGTATCTCAAAATTTTCTTTATCAGGCCCTGTGGAAAAAGAAGCATTATATTTTCCTGTTTTCAATCTTTTAATAAAATCACTGCAATTTATTTTCTTTTCTGAAGAAATATTTTGCTTCACAGAAAAATTTGATTCTTTTTTCACTCTTGAATTCTCAAGGTGGTGCTTTAAGTTAGTCAGAAATGATGTGGTATCTACTTTTGTGGACTTTTCACTTTCCGTACAACCTAAAATGCCTTTGGTAATCATCACAGTATGACTTGCTGTTAAATCCATCTGGTTTTCATCTGAAAAGACGACTGTCTGGTCATCTGCATGTTTCCTTTCATGGTTGCTTTCTGTAACTGAAAACTACAATGAAGACAAAATATGAGATCAGATCAAATTTAAACTTCTAAAAAGGTACTTTATAATATGTACCATCCAAATACAGTTTCATGACACATGGTTTGCTTAAACTAACATTATGGTGTGTTGCACATTATTTGTTATTATTTTTTTCCTAAACTTTGAATAACTTTTTAAAATATTTTGAGACAAATTAAAAATTTAAGGTTAATCATTTCTATTAGAAAAATGAAAAAATGCTAGCAACATCAAATGTAACCATAATTAACAAAAGCCTGAAATTATTCATATGTTCATTAAAATTTAAGAAGTCCTGATTTACCTTATCCTTAGTTAATTACAAAGGCAGGAAGTTTTTCAAGTTTAGATTCATTTTGCTAAGTCATCCCTAAATCACACATTATCATTAACTCCTTTATGTTTTTAAGCCTTAACTATAAAAAGAATAAAAAATGAAAGCACCTACATGAGCTCTTACCTCTTTCTGTTGCATCTGGGTTTGAATGGGAGCACAAAGCAATGTGCTCATGCCTATTTAAAAAAAAAGGTAGTATTCAGAAAAAAACATGAATATATTACTAAGAGTCTGGTTTTCTTCTTTTTGGGTCTCTTCATGTTTCTATTTCTAATCTGAATGGCAGTGAGATAGAGACAGAGAAAGTCTGAATTGGGTAGTTCATTCACCAAATGCCCATAACATCCACGACTGGAGATGGCTAAAGTCAGGACTCCATCCAGATCGCCTACATAACTGGGAGAAACTCCAGTACCTGGGCTTTTATCTGGTATCTCTCACATGCATAAGCAGGAAGCTGATTCAAAAACAGAGATGGGACTCTGTGAAAGTAATGGAGGATGACCAAAGACCTCAGCACCCATGTGGAAGACCTAGAAGAGGCTCCTGGCTCTCAGCTTTGGATCAACTTAGCTCCAGCAGACTGCTGCGACCATATGGGGACTCAACCAGTGAATGGAAAATCTTTCTCTCTCTCTCCTCTCTGTAAATATGCCTTTCCAATAAAAATAAAAAATGAAAAAGGAAGCTTAAAAAAATGATAAACCATCTGTGAAATTTCCAGTATGAAACAATGTAAATAAACAAAGATCTCTACATTAGAATAGGAGAGAAGGGGAGACAGAGAAGCATCTTTTCATTTGCTGGTTCCTTTCCCAAATGGTTGTAATGACTAGGGCTGGGTCAGGCTGAAGCCAGGGGCTAAAACTTCAACAGAGCACTACACATGAGTGTGGCTGCTCTCCCAAGGAGCTAGACCAGAAGCAGAGCAGTTGGGCCTCAAACCAGTATTCTGATGAGGGATACTGAAGTTACAGAATAGGGTAGGGCTTAACCCATTGCACCACATTAGTGATTTCAAGTAAAAAATACTTATAAAGAAATCTGGGTCACAGCACAATAACCCAGCGGCTAAATCCTCGCCATGCACACCCAGGATCCCATATGGGCTCCAGTTGATGTCCCAAAGGCTCCACTTCCTTCCAATTAAGCTTCCTGCTTGTAGCCTGGGAAAGCAGTCCAGGATGGTCCAAAGCCCGGGACGCTGCACCCGCCTGGGAGACCGTGAAGAAGCTCCTGGCTCGTGGTTTCAGATTAGATCAGTTCCAGCCATTTCAGCCACTTGGGGAGTGAACCAGCTGATGGAAGATCTTTGTCTCTGTCTCTCCTTCTCTCTATATATTTCCCTTTCCAATTAAAATAAATACATCTTTAAAAAATTAGGAAATACGGATGTAAAACAAAAATGCATAAAATAAGAAAAGTATCTCTAGTTACACTTACCAGTAATCTCACAGTAATTATTTTCTGAATTCTTACTCCTAAAAAAATTAAAAAGCATTTTATAGTCTATATTCCAATTACTATGACTCACAACATATGAAAGAGTAGATATGGTGAAAATGCTTAATAAGGTGACTAGTAGAAAATTATAAACACATCATTTAAGAATAATGTAATACTGGTTGAAAAAAATTACAAAACAACTAAAGAAATCCTTTCAGAATGGCATTCATGGTTAATTCATTTCAAGAACACTATAAAATATGCTTGATGAATACTGTCTGCTCATTTAAAAAGTAGTTTGTTTTTAAAATTTAGCCTTAGATTTCAAAAGCATGAAGTGGCTCTCCATGTAGTTTCATTGAATGTGCTATGTTGGGGCCTGGTGTGGCAGCCTAGCAGCTAAAGTCCTCACTTTGAATGTGCCAGGATCCCATATGGGTGCCGGTTCTAATCCCGGCAGCTCCGCTTTCCATCCAGCTCCCTGCTTGTGGCCTGGAAAGCAGTCAAGGATGGAACAAAGCCTTAGGATACTGCACACATGTGGGAGACCTGGAAGAGCTCCTGGCTCCTGGTTTCAGATCCGCAAAGCTCTGGCCATTGTGGTCACTTTGGGAGTGAATCATCAGACGAAAGATCTTTCTCTCTATATATCTAATTTTGCAATAAAAATAAATCTTTAAAAAATAAATCAATCAATCTTAAAAAAAAGTTCACGGAAAATAAGTACTGTGAGAAATCCATTCTGTTGGTTCACTGTCCACATGGTTACCACAGCTAGGGCTGTACTATGTGGAACTGAGAACTCCATCAGGGGTGGCAGCGATCCATTAGCAAGCAGCTGTCGCGCACACACTGGATTCCAGACACTCAGATATGGGACGCAATAATAATTAAATCTTTACAAAAAAAAAAGCAAATTAGTTTCCAATTTTGTACAATCTGATATATTTTAAAACTGATATACAAAAGAGGTGTTTCATTAACTATTTTATTGATGGTATAGGAGTTAGCACAATGGCTCAACTGGCTAATCCTCCACCTCCAAGCACAAGCATCCCATATGGGCATCAGTTTGTGTCCCGCCATTCCACTTTCCATTCTACTCCCTCTCTATGGCCTGGAGAAGCTGTGGAGGATGGACCAAAGACTTGGGATCCTACACCCTTTTGCGAGACCTAGACTGGGGCTCCTGGCTACTAATTAGCACAACTCTGGCCATTGCAGCCATTTGCAAAGTGAACCAGAAGGTGGAAATACTTTCTCCATTTTTCCTTCTCTCTGTAGATCTGCCTTGCCAATAAAAACAAATTTTTTAAACAAATGTTAATAAATAAATTAATTAAATGATGGTGAAATACATAGATACTTACTTATTAGATACAGTAGTATGTACACTAAAATCTACAAAGAGTTTGTTTCACAAGTTAATCCTGAATATTGCACAAATGGATACAAATATAAAATATTAATTTAAAAAACCTTAATAGTAATAAACAACTTTTACACTGTAATATGAATGTCTCTTTCACTCACTGTATAAATGGAACATTTTCCTTTGCTTCTGTTCCTAAAAATAAAATAACAAATTTAAGGATATATGCATTAAGCATTCAAGAAATCAGAGATACTATCAACAATTAAAGAAATTACTAACTATCCACCCTACCTTCCATTCCCAGGATTCAAGATGTATTTTAAAGCGATAGTCAATAATTTACAGCAAATATCTAGTTAAGTTGCACATTTTAAAGAAAACAGATTTAGCAAGGACTGTAGCAACATATTTACCTGTGGTTTCAGATTTTCTCCTTAATTTCATATGAGATTCTGTCTGGAATACCCTAGAAGAGAAAATAGAGTCCAAAAATCTTCTATTTCTAATGAGACACTTGGTATTAAAGACTATTTTGAGCAAGACAAGATAATACTCTGATTTCAGCTTCCTCTTCTTTCTGCTAAGTCACAGACTGTTAAAACTACAACTCCTGGGCCCAGCACAATGGCTCAGCAGTTAAATCCTCACCTTGCATGCACCAAGATCCCATATTGGTGCCAGTTATTGTCCCGGCAGCTCCACTTCCCATCCAGCTCCCTGCTTGTGGCCTGGGAAAGCAGTGAAGGATGGCCCAGAGCCTTGAGATGGTGCACCTGTGTGGGAGACCAGGAAGAGCTCCTGGCTTTGGATCAGAACACTTCTGGCTGTTCCTTTCTCTCAGTGAGTGATCCAGGGATGGGTATTTCTTAATCAGCACTAGCTAAGATAGTCAACCTAGTGTATGGCAGGATCTATACGTATGATTATAATACTGGTGAGAAGGGGCCAGCATTGTGGCATAGTAGGTTAAGCTGCTTGAAGGAGGATTAACCAATTGAGTTATCACACCAGGCCCCCATAGAGATCTTAAATGAGTTCCTGGATTCTGGCTTCAGCCCCTGTGTAGGCCTGGCTGTTGTGGACATTTGGGCAATGAATCAGCAGAATGGAATTCCCCTCCTCCCCCAGAGATGATATTTTGATATATATCATGAAGAATCCAACCAGTTAGCTATAATTGAGCTAATATTATCATTCATTACATAAACGTGTTCTTAGAATTTTATTTTTATGAAAAAGCAAAATACTCATATGCACACTGCTATATTCTTTTTTTTTCTCTTTTTTTTAAAATTTTTATAAAATTTTATTTTGACATTCTTTACATAGTTAATTAGGGTAAGAAGGTTCAAGGGCTACATTGCTATATTCTTTATGAACACTTTTCAATGTCTTTGATTCAGAGAGTTCCTATCTCCTGGCTAACTTCCAAATGCTGGAAATCTCTGGGATTGGGCCAACCTGAAGCTGAGTCAGGTTTCTCCCATGGGGACAGAACTCAAGGAGTTAAGCCATCCTGGAATCAGCGGCAGCAGGCAGCTGAAGGCTGGAGTCAGAGCCAGGGATCAATTCCAAGTATTCAGACAAAAGCTGCAGGTATCTTAACCAACACCTTAGCTTCTGGGCTCCATGCCTGTCCTTACATAAATTTACAATATTTAAATGTTTATATCAAGGACCCCTGTAGCTTATGGATAAAGATTTTGTTTTTTTATTCTTTTAAAGATTTATTTATTTATTGGAAAGTCAGATATACAGAGAAGAGGAGAGACAGAGAGGAAAATCTTCCGTCCGATGATTCACTCCCCAAGTGAGTGCAACGGCCAATGCTATGCTGATCCGAAGCCAGGATTCAGGAACTTCTTCCAGGTCTCTCACAAGGGTGCAGGGCCCCAAAGCTCTGGGCCGTCCTAGACTGCTTTCCCAGGCCACAAGCAGGGAGCTGGATGGGAAGTGGAGCTGCCAGGATTAGAACCGGCACCCATATGGGATCCCTGGGCGTTCAAGGCGAGGACTTTAGCCACTAGGCCATGCCGCTGGGCCCACTGATAGAGATTTTGAAGGCCTCCAAAGTAAAGCAACTACTGAGATCACACACCTGGTAAGTGGCTGACCCAGAATACAAACCTACACTTGACTTCAGATCCTGAGCTTCTGAATACAAAGCTTTCCTTGACACAATCCTTCAGATGAGTTACAAGGCAATGATTTTTAAACAATGAGAAGAATTAGTAGTCAGGCAATTTATTTTACTTATTTTTTTAAGGATGTATTAATTTTTATTACAAAGTCAAATATATAGAGAGAGGAGAAGAGACAGAGAGGAAGATCTTCCATCTGCTGATTCACTCCCCAAGCCGCCGCAACAGCTGGGATCCGAAGTCAGGAGCCAAGAACTTCTTCCAGGTCTCCCACAAGACTTTGGGCCATCCTCTACTGCTTTCCCAGGCCACAAGAGGGAGCTGGGTGGGAAACAAGGCCATTGGGATTAAAACTGGTGCCAGTGTGGGATCCCAGTGCATGCAAAGTGAGGACTTTATCCGCAAGGCTATGGTGCCGGACCACAGTAGTTAGACAATTTTTAAAAAGGGTATTTTTTCTTGCCCCCGCAGAGATCTACTTTATTTTATTTGAAAGTCAGAGTTACAGACAGGGAATGAGAGATGGGGAGCTATATCAGAAATGGAGAAACTGGGGGCTGGCACCATGACTGAACTGGCTAATCTTCCACCTCGAAGCACCAGCATCCCATTTGGGTGCCGGTTCATGTCCCAGCTGCTCCATTTCCCATCCAGTTCCCTGCTTACAGCCTGGGAAAGCAGCAGAGGATGCTCCAAAGCCTTGGGATCCTATACCAACATGGGAGACCCAAAAGAGGCTGCTGTCTTCTGGCTTCAGCTTAGCTCAGCTCCCGCTATTGTAGCCATTTGGACAGTGAACCAGTGAATGGAAGACCTTTCACTCTGTTTTGAATCCCTCTGTACCCTCATTATCTGCCTTCCCAACTAAAATAAATAAAGCTTTAAAAAAATTGAGAAGCTGGTACTCAAAGCAGAACCACAAAGGATGCCAGGAATTGCAGACAATGACCTTTTCTGCTATACCACAATGCCAACTCCCAAAAAGTCTTCTAAAATGAGGAACAGAAAATGATCCCTAAATTTCACAAAATAAAAACATAAAAATGCATTTGAATTTGCAAATCTTAAAATGTCAACCTGAGGTCTATTCTCTGGTCACACATATCTATTGTCAGTTCTAGTTAAGTACAAATATTATAAAACTACAGAAACAGCAGGCCATTTGGACAACATCAGCAGATGCAAGATATCTTCCTCAACCTTTGTAACTTCTTCAGATAAATGATAAAGAATAAATCTTAAAACAAAAATGAACCCCAGCCATATGTTGACAACGAAAAACAGGGAAACAGAGACTCTAAGATGGACTGTGTCAATCAGAGGATTCCTCAGCGACCTTATCATGCCTGGATTAGCAGCAATTCAGAACTGTTGAACTATCAAAACCACTTGAGCAAGACCCTCGGAGCATGCCCCACGTCGTGGACCTGGGATGGGCGGGAGACTGCGTGGGGCTTCTCCCTTTACCTCCCCCTTTACCCCAGATATAGAAAAAAAACCATGGAAATGATAGTCTTGTCCACTTAGCTGTGCCCTATTTAACTATGTAAAGATTGTCAAAAACAAAATTTAAAAAACGGAAAAAAAAAATGAACCAGAAACATAAAATACTTCTACACTTTAGCATCACAATGCCGGCCATGGTGAGATGGGCATTCGGAGATTAAGATGCCATTTGGGTTGCTGCGCTCCATATCACAGCGCCCAGGTTTCAACCTCATCTCTGCCTCAGGTGCCAGTTTTCTGCTAATGCATAGTTTGGAAGGTGGCAGGTGATGGCACAAATGTTTGGGTCCCTGCTGCCCACAAGGCAACTTGAATAAAGTTCCAGCCTTCAGGCTCCAACCTGGCCCTGTCTCGGTCTCAGTCTCAGCCCTAGGACCCTGCACTCACATGGGAGACCCAGAAGAAGCTCCTGGCACTGACTTCGGATCGGCTCAGTTCTAGCCACTGTAACTACTTGGACAGTAAAGCAGCAGATACAAGATCTTTCTGTTTCTCCTTCTCTGTAAGTCTGCCTTTCCAATAAAAACTAAATAAATCTTTAAGACATGCACACACACAAACCAATTATTTAAGGTTATTTAAATGAAACATGGATTATTCAAAACAATACAAATATATTTTGAATAAATATACTGAATGAAAAATGCATTATCTACATCACTGTAACCATTTTTCTTTTCCACTTACTTTATAGTATCTGCAAAGCTGACTCGGCGAGAGCTTTTCTTGCTTCTGAAAACATTGGATTCCTAAAGGTAGATATCATACGGTACAATTCTTAATAAAATCAACTATGAATTTGATCTCCAGTGTAAACATTTATTCTGAATTAATTTAATAAGAATCTCCAAAATGCAAAAGCACTAAAAATCATGTGAACATAGATTTCAAAGTGAGTGATACTAAGAATAATGACATAAACAACATAAAACAGGGCCAAAAACATGTAACATATGGCCTCTTACAAAAACACACTATTTGTTCAAGTTGTGGTAAAGTACCTACAACAAAAAATTTATAATTGGACTATCCCTATTCTTTTGGACATCACTCAATTTTTATATATGCATAGTAACAAACACACTACAATAACTTACCATCTTAACAATTTTAGGTGTTTTTAGCAGAAAACTATAGTGCTAAGTATATCCATATTGCTTTGTTTTTAAAAAAATATTCGAAAGTCAAATTACAGAAACAGACAGCAAGAAGTAGAAAGAGAGGGATCTTCTATCTGCTGGTTCACTCTCCAAATGGTTACAAAGGGCAGGTCTGCAAAGGTCTCGGTGGTAACTAACAGGGCCATCATCCACTGCCTTCCCAGGTGTATCAGCAGGAAGTTGGAAAAAGCAAAGCACTCAGGACATGAACTAGTGCTCTGGTTTGCGTTGCCACCATGCTATTAGGCTTAGCAACACCAGCCCCAGAAAAATGGGAATTAAGCAAACAAAGCTAAAGATTTATGATAAAGTATGATAAAACGTTATTTGTTTAGAATCCAGACGATGACTATAAGAACATTTATTATAAAAATTTTTCATTTTTGGGCCCAGTGCAATAGTGTAATGGTTAAAGTCCTCGCCTTGCACGCGCCAGGATCCCATATGGGCGCCGGTTCTAATCCCGGCAGCTCCACTTCCCATCCAGCTCCCTGTCTGTGACACAGCCCAAAGCCTTGGGACCCTGCACCCATGTGGGAGACCTGGAAGAATCTCCTGGCTCCTGGCTTCAGATTGGCTCAACTCTGGCTGTTGTGGCCACTTGGGGAGTGAACCAGTGGATGGAACATCTTCCTCTCTGTCTCTCCTCTGCTCAATATATCCGCCTGTCCAATAAATAAACAAATCTTTAAAAAAAATTTTTGGGGCCCGGCGGCATGGCCTAGTGGCTAAAGTCCTCACCTTGAACGCCCAGGGATCCCATATGGGTGCCGGTTCTAATCCTGGCAGCTCCACTTCCCATCCAGCTCCCTGCTTGTGGCCTGGGAAAGCAGTTGAGGACAGCCCAAAGCCTTGGGATTCTGCACCCGTGTGGGAGACCTGGAAGAAGTTCCTGGATCCTAGCTCGGATCAGTATAGCATCGGCCACTGCACTCACTTGGGGAGTGAATCATCGGACGGAAGATCTTTCTCTCCGTCTCTCCTCTCTGTATATCTGACTTTGTAATAAAAATAAATATTTCAAAAAAAAATTTTTGTAATTGTTTTGTTATGTTTGAAAGAAAATTTAATAAGATGTCGGGGGGGGGAGGATACAGGACTAGACATCCAGAGAGACTAGCATGTCTAAATGCTTACGATTACAACAGTTCATGTGTTGCTTGAGGAATAAGCAGTTTTGAATGTTGGGCTACACATGCAAGACTGGCAAGAAAGAAGTATGAAAAAGAAAACTGGTGTCAGAAATCATGAATCCCAGCAGATTCAGGTGTTTGGGCTTCATCCTGAACGCCATGGCATGCTTACCCACATACATTCAACTGAGAATCACTTATCATGTCCTCCCTTCACTTAGCTAATAAAGCTCCTAAGTATTAAAACATCAGGAAAAAATACTAAACAAGAAACAGGCTCTTACCTGCACTGCTTCATACCCCCCTCTGAGGTCCTGAAGAGGACTCCGTGGAGGCTTCAAGATCTAGAGATAAGCATTAGAATGAATTAGTCAACAAAGTCTGGCAACACTATTAGCAATCTTTTTATTTTCCACCAAGTTATATCACAGACAGAAAGCTAAAATTTTCATTAAACTAAAAAAAAAAAAAAATCCTCAAATCCATTCTGTTTATCATAGGATATATTTAAATTTCAAGCAGCAGGCAACTGGCCTAAAGGTTAAGACTCCACTGGTGGTGCCTGTTCAAGTCCTTGGCTGCTTCACTTCCTATCCAGCCCTCTGCTTACAGCCTGGGAAAAGAGCAGAGGATGACCCAAGTCCCTGGGACCCTGCCCACACATGAAGCCCTAGGATTTGGGACATCCTGCTCTGCTTTCCTAGGCCATCAGCGGGGAGCTGGACCAGAAGCAGAGAGTCTGGACATGAACCAGTACCAATATTGGATGGGGGCACCACAGGTAAAGGATTAATGTGCTCTGCCACCACACAGGCCTCCCCAAGTACCACTTGAACTCACAGTGACACAATACCTGCCCAAGGCTTTACTGAAGTATATTTATATAACATAAAAATTCACATTTTGTGAATTTAGTAATTCATCAGAAAGGGTAGCCAGGTTAAATATTTGAAATTTTGTACAATAAAGTTTCTTTTATAAAAATAGGGAAGCAGTAAGATCAGGAATGTAAAATCACAGGCAAAATTGATGCAATGCTGGCATCCAAATAAAAGCATCCAGCCATTAAGGCCATTTTGGGAGTGAACTGACAAATGACAGATGTCTTTCTTCCAATCTCTCCCTTTCTCTCTGTCACTCAGTTTTAAAAATAAATAAATAAACCAATAATAATAAAGAAAGTAAATCTTCAAAACAACTCTGCAGAATACAGTTATCACTCAACATGAGGTAACATTATTAACTTTAGTGTTTCTTACTGAGGAATGCCGAACTCTAACAGGTCTCTCTGTATTGTCACTGAAAGGAAAAAAAGACACCCATAAATAAACCCATCAAAGACTTCATTTCCAAAAGTCATCATCACAGCATCTTTTGAACTAGCAACCACTTTTAAAGTTATATTATACAAATTTTTTTTATGGCACGAAATTTTAAACTAAATATTCAGGAATTTAACTTTGTTTATCTTGATTTTCTAAAATCGTTGCAACAAATTCAAAAACTAAACACACAGGCAAAGATAATAATAGTAGTGTCAGTAGGCTGCAAACAGTCCAGCAGTCTCTCAAGTAAACTAAACAAAATCATTTCCTTTACCCAAACCTCAATCTTCTCCTTCAGTTGAAGAGGCAGGAGAAGGTATTTAAAGTCCTCTCAGTTTTAACTCTGGATGAGTTGACATAAAAATACAGTAAGACAGGCCCAGTGCCATGGCCTAGCGGCTAAAGTCCTCGCCTTGAACGTACCGGGATACCACATGAGTGCTGGTTCTAATCCCGGCAGCTCCACTTTCCATCCAGCTCCCTGCTTGTGGCCTGGGAAAGCAGTCGAGGACAGCCCAAAGCCTTGGGACCCTGCACCTGTGTGGGAGACCTGGAACAACTTCCTGGCTCCTGGCTCTGGATTGACACAGCACTGGCCGTGGCACTCACTTCGGAATGAGTCATCGGATGGAAGATTTTCCTCTCTGTCTCTCCTCCTCTGTATATCTGAGTTTGTAATAAAAATAAATAAATTAAAAAAAAAAATACAGCAAGACGGGCTAGTACTGTGGAACATTTACTTCTTCTTTTTTTTTTTTAAGATTTATTTATTTATTGGAAAGTCAGATATACAGAGAGGAGGAGAGACAGAAAGGAAAATCTTCCGTCTGATGATTCACTCCCCAAGTGAGTGCAATGGCCAATGCTATGCTGATCCAAAGCCAGGATTCAGGAACTTCCTCCGAGTCTCCCACACGGGTGCAGGGTCCCAAAGCTCTGGGCCGTCCTTGACTGCTTTCCCAGGCCACAAGCAAGGAGTTGAATGGGAAACGGAGCTGCCAGGATTAGAACCGGCGGCCATCTGGGATCCCTGGGCGTTCAAGGCGAGGACTTTAGCCGCTAGACCACGGCGCTGGGCCCGGAACATTTACTTCTTTTCACTAAATCACAATCGTAAAAGAATCTATATGGTACTGATTAGCCTCACTAGGTTGAAAAATATCTTTCTCTGGCAGACTTAGTGATTTTCGTTACACTGAATGAACTTACTTTTCATCATTTGCCTCTGAAGACACTCCATCCATTTTGTGAAGATCTTTTTCTGCAACAAATACATTAATACCAGAAAAAGTGAGAAAGAAGGAAGAAAGATTACAACCTAAAAATCAACTTATGAAGACTGGCCATATTGAGAAGCAATCTCTCTTCCCACAGAACAGAACGGAAGACAGACACACTCCATCCGACTTTCACTCTCCAACCCACTCTGCTCATGACCACACTACACATGTGCCTATGATCTCTGCACTTCTTAAACAAAGATCAAATAAAAAACAAACTTTAAAAAATCAAGAATCGAATTGTGATTTTAAGCTTCTTTCCTGAGGAAAGGTCAAAAACCAGGAAGAGAAATAAACTTTATCACAGAGCTGAAAAACATGAAATACCTTGCGGGCAGTGGTGTGGTATATCTGTGAAGTTGCCACCTGTGGCACCAGCATTCCACCTGGTCACCAGCTTAAGCCCCAGATGCTCCATTTCCCACCTAGCTCCCTGCTGATGCACCTGGGAAAGCAATGGAAGATGGCCCAAGTCCTGAGGCCCCAGCACCAGTATGGGAGACCAGGAAGAAGTTCTTGCCCTGGCTTTGCATTGGTCGCTATGCCATTTGGGAAGTGAATCAGTGGATAAAAGACTTCTCTCTCCATTTTCCATCTCTCTTTAACTCTACCTTTCAAATAAATACATAAGCAAACAAATTAATAAATCTTTGCTTGTTTTAAAGATTTATTTTTATTAGAAAAGTAGATTTACTGAGAGGAAACAGTTTACTCCCCAAATGGCCGAATGACAGAAGCTGAACTGATCTGAAGCCAGGAGCATCTTCAGAGTTTCTCATGCGGTTTCAGCATCCCAAGGCTTTGGGCCAATCTTTACTGCGTTCCCAGGCCACAAGCAGGGAGGTAGATGGGAAGCAAAGCAGCCAGGCCATGAACTGGTGCCCATGTGGGATTCTGGCACTTTTACAAGAAGAGGAATTAGCCTCTGAGCCACAGTGTAGCGCCCATAAATAAATGTTTAAATAAAACAAAGGAAGGAAGAAGCGGGCGAGGAGACTAAATTACTTTAATGAGCTTAAAACTAAAATGTTACAACTACACTCCTGAGGCCGGCCTAGCAGCTAAAGTCCTCACCTTGAATGCACCAGTATCCCATATGGGTGCCGGAATCCCGGCAGCTCCGCTTCCCATCCAGCTCCCTGCTTGTGACCTGGGAAAGCAGTTGAAGACAGCCCAAAGCCTTGGAATCCTGCACCCCTGTGGCAGACCTGGAAGAAGTTCCTGGATCCTGGCTTTGGATCAGCATAGCATCAGCCGTTGCACTCACTTGGGGAGTGAATCATCGGATGGAAGATTTTCCTCTCTGTCTCTCCCCCTCTCTGTATATCTGACTTTGCAATAAAAATAAAATAAATCTTTAACCTCAACAACAAAAAATTACACACCTGGAAAATCCTCATAATCATGATAAAATCAGTAACAATCTGCTGGGAAGGATATGAACTTCATTGGCTTAAACATAAATTTGATCAATTTTTAAAACTTTTATTGGAAAGTAAGAAAGGAGAAGAGACAGAGAGGAACTCCCAAAGTGGCCACAACAGCAAGAGTTGAGCCAATCTAAAACCAGGAGCCAGGAGATTCTGCGGGGTCTCCCACGCAGGTACAGGGTCCCAAGGCTGTGGGCCATCCTTAACTGCTTTCCCAGGCCACAAGCAGGGAGCTGGACGGGAAGCGGGGTTGCCGGTGCCCATTTGGGATCCTGGGCACATTCAAGGTGAGGACTTTAGCTGCTAGGCCACCACACTAGGCCCGTCAACAGTTACAACAGTCAGAGCTGAGCCGATCCAAAGCCAAGGGCTAAGAGCTTCCTTAAGGTCTCCCATGTGAATGCAGGGTCCCAAGGACTTGAGCCATCACACACTACTCTCCCAGGCCATAAGTGGGAAGCTGGATTGGAGGTGGAGCAGCCAGAACTAGAACCCCTGCCCATGTGGGATATCACAGGATGAAGCTTAGCCTACTATGCCATAGCATTAGTGCTTAACCTGAATATTTCTTTTTTTCTTTTTTTTTTTTTTAAAGATTTATTTTTTTTTTATTATTTTTTCATTGGAAAGGCGGATATACAGAGAGGAAGATCTTCCGTCCGATGATTCACTCCCCAAGTGAGCGCAACGGGCCGATACTATGCCAGTCCGAAGCCAGGAGCCTCTTCCAGGTCTCCCACGCGGGTGCAGGGTCCCAAAGCTTTGGGCCGTCCTCTGCTGCTTTCCCGGGCCACAGGCAGGGAGCTGGAAGGGAAGCGGGGCTGCCGGGATTAGAACCGGCGCCCATATGGGATCCCGGGCGTGCTAGGCGAGGACCTTAACCACTTGCGCCACCGCGCCGGGCCCAACCTGAATATTTCTAAACATTTCTCTCCCTGTGTCTCTACTTTTAAAATAAAATCAAAATAAATGCAAAACTGTTTTAAATAGTGTAGCTGATTCTGTTGCTTTTACTTGATGTAAAGAACACAAAAGAGGTATAACCTGAAGTTTCTTCAATTGGTCTGAGTTCCTATCTACCTAAAACTATATTTGCATAGGGCCCAGCAAGGTAGCCTAGAAGCTAAAGTCCTTACTTTGCATCTGCTGGCATCCCATTTGGGCACCAGTTCGTGTTCCAGCAGCCCTGCTTCCCATCTAGCTCCCTGCTTGTGGCCTGGAAAAGCAGTCCAAGATGGCCCAAAGCCTGGGACCCTGCACCACTATGGAAGACCTGAAGGAGGCTCTTGGCTCCTGGCTTTGGATTGGCTCAGCTCTGGCCATTGCAGCCACTTTGGGAGTGAATCAGCGGACGGAATATCCTCCTCTGTCTCTCCTCCTCTCTGTATATCTGAGTTTCCAATAAAAATAAATTTAAAACTTTTTTTTTGTATAAGACTTTCATGTCATACTTTAACCTTGGAACTTCACTCCCAGATAAGTAAAAATATCCCTGTAGATTTCCTAAAAAGAATAGCTAGAATTCTGAATCAGCTATATTAACATTTCCATAACACTAAATTAATGCCATACACATAAACCATTAGAATCCACATTCTGAGTTTCAGCAATACAAAGTAGGTATCTAGGACTTGCTCTCTGAGCCTCTCCTTTAGTCCACGCTTATTCAGTCTTCTGCTCACAAATAACACCACACCTACTCAAAGCACACAGCCTTCTTTATATCAGTTTTTATGTAAGATTGGCCAGATTGTTATTGGTAGCAGTTTTAAGATTCATTTATCTTAAAGACAGAATGACAGATCTTTCATCTACTGGTTCACTCCCCAAATGCCTACAATCAATAGATCTGAGCAGGGCCAACTGGGGGGCGGGGGTCAACCTTTTTTCTTCTTTTAAAAAGTTTTTTTAACTTTTACAGAGATTATGAGGCAGAAACAAAGAAAACAATCCTCCTTCCATTGGTTCACTCCTCAAATGATCACAACCAGCAGGGCTTTGCCCAGGCAGGAACTCTTTTCAGGTCTCCCGCGTGGGTGCAGGGACCAAGGACTCCGGGTATCTTACATTGCTTTCCCAGTACATTAGTGGGGAGCTGGATCAGAAATGGAGCAACAGAGCAAATAAAGGGATTTGAACTGGTGCTCAAATGGGATGCTGGCATCCTAGATGGAAGCTTAACCTGCGGCACAGTGAGGATCTCCTGGCGTCCCATTTTTCTCCTTCCCAAAAGCAGCCTTTTTTAACTTAGTTTATTATTTTTTTGCATTTACCACACTAAGTTAAGTAACTGGCTTGTCCTGCTACTTTTTGAATTTTCTACTTTTGGCCATTAAATTGCCTTCCCATAGTGGTGGATAAAAATTAAGCTCCCTTTCTTAAAATCTCCATCACATAAACAAACAAAAATGCAGATAAACACAGTATGAGAAAAGAAATATCAAGTGCAAATTTCCTTTTTTTTTTTTTAAGACTTATTTATTTGGGCCTGCTGGAGTGATAGCATAGCTGTCAAAGCCCTAGCCTTGCAGGCAACAGGATCCCATAGGGTCACTGGTTCTAATCCCAGCAGCCTGTTTCCCATCCAGCTCCCTGCTTGTGGTCTGGGAAAACAGTAGAGGACAGCCCAAAGATTTGGGATCCTGTACCCACCAGGAAGTTCCTGGCTCCTGGCTTCAAAATGGCTCAGTTCCAGCTGTAGTGGCCACTTGGGGAGTGAACCATCGGAAAAAAAAAGTAGGTAGGGCCTAGCACGGTAGCCTAATGGATAAAGTCTATGCCTTGAACATGCCAGGATCCCATTTGGGATCCCTGATTCTGGTCTGGGAAAGCAGTTGCGGGAAGGCCCAAGGTCTTGGGACCCTGAGCCTATGCAGAGGACCTGGAAGAGGCTCTGGGCTCCTGGCTTCGGATCGGCTCAGCTCCGGCCGTTGTAGTCACTTGGGGAGTGAATCATTGGATGGAAGATCTTCCTCTCTGTCTCTCCTCCTCTCTGTATATCCGACTTCCCAATAAAAATAAATAAATCTTTAAAAAAAAAAGTGAGTCCACCATCCAGAAACATTTATAATCATCTCAATCGTTGAAAAAGCACCCCAGTTAAAGTGAACCTTTGGTGCAGTGGCTTTTAGTCACTGCTTGGGCAACTTGGCAACTGTCTCTTATGCCCAAGATCTCAGCCACTCCATTTCTGATTTAGCTTCCTGCCGACACACACCCTGAAAAGCAGCAGTGATGATCAAGTATTTGGTGCCTGCCACCCAGGTGAGAAACCCAGCTGGAATTTCAGGCTCCTGGCTTCAGGCTAGCCCAGCATCACCAGCATATGCAGAATCAATCAGAAAATAGAAGGCTTGTCTGTCAGTCTCTAATACACTGAAAACACATTTTAAAAGTTCAAGAAAGTTTCATCAATTTTAACAACCTTTCTTTTTTTACTTTAAAGCTTTATTTATGTATTTGGAAGGCACTGTTAGAAAGAAAGAAGGGATAAAAGAGAGCGAGAGAATGATCTTTCATCAGCTGGTTCCCTCCCCAAATGGCCTCAACAGCTGGAACTAGGCCAGTCCTAAGTAAGAAGCTAGGAGCTTCTTGCAGGTCTCCCACATGGAGGCAGGGGCACAAGGATCTGGGCCATCCTCTGCTGCTTTCCCAGACACATAAGCAAAGAGCTGAATTGGAAATGGAGCAGCTGAGATCAGAACCAGGCATTCTGATATGTGATACAGTCATCCCAAGTACCCATATAGGACGCCAGCACCTCAGATACTGGTAACTTCACTGGTCCCATTAAACAGCTAACCTCCTCCACTTTTTCCTTTTAATCCAACAGGGGCTGGGATTCTGGTGCTGGAATCCCACATCAGAGTGCCACCGCAGAGTTCCAACCACTCCACTTCCGATCCAGCTCTGCTAACGTGCCTGAGAGCAATAGAAGATGATCCATGTACTTGGGTTCGCGCCAGCCCACAAGGGAGACACAAAATTCCAGGCTCATGGCGTCAGCCAGCGTAGCCATTTGGCAGGTGAATCAGTGGGTGGAGGATCTCTGTCTCTCCCTGTCACTTTGCCTTCCAATTAAGTAAAACTTTTAAAAGTAAATGAAGAATATCTAACAAAGGAGGAACAGAAAGCAAGTGAGCAGTAATTATCTAAAAAAACAAACAGCAAGTGTTAAAAGAGTTTCCAACCCGGCTTCCTGCTAATTTGCCTGGGGAGACAGCAGAGCGAGGCCCAAGAGCTGGCCGCGTGCAGTGGATCTTGCAGCCAGCAGAAATTTCTGAACCTGCCTTCAGTATGGCTCAGCCTGGGTGAATGGGAGTACTTTCTGTCTTTCCCTCTCTCTGCCATTCTGCCTTGGAAATAACTATATCTTGAAATAACAACAACAAAATGATAAAAGAAATGAAAGGGGTGCAATATACAATCTAATTCTAAGGTTTGAGAAGTTGAAAAGGGTCCAACAGGCAAACAGCTAATTAATAACTGTGATTACATAACAAAAAATAAATTTTTTGTTTTCCTTCAATTTATGCATATTTTTCATATGGCTACTAAGTTTTCAGGACATAAATACTAAATACGCTGTCTGACACCAATTACTTAATAAATGTAACTGTTAGCTATGTCTTCTGACCTCTTCAGGTCAACCAAGGAAGTCTGAAAACCTCTCACCTCAATAAACCCCTCTCACTGGGCCAAATTAGCTGTTAAAACTAAAAACAGTTTTTAACAGGCTGCATAAAACAAAGCAACCTACAACTAAACAAAGAGTATGTGACACAGATCATGCCACGACCAGTGTGGCCAAGAAAGCCGATGCATTTACCACACAATCTGGCTCCTTTGCCTAACTAGCAATATCTAGCTTCATATTTTTCAGTATACAATGACAGACTCGTGCTAATACAGCCAGAATTTAAATTTTAGGTCAAACAAAATAAGATTTAAAATCTGGCTCCAGATCAAAGAGCCACATTGCGGGTGCTCAACAGTCACGCAGGGCTGACGGACATTATCAGGCATCGACGATACAAAACACCCCGGTCACCGGGGAAAGTTCTACCTTAACACCACAGTATCTTCCACAGTTTCTGAGCTAGCATCAAACACACCAGTAACACAACCATCTCCAACGCTTCTACTCAGTTTGCATGGATCTGTCATCTCATCAATATGAACTATTTTAATTTCCCCACATCTTGGATTAACTTCTCCCTTCCATAAACCATTGGCTACAGGAAGGTTACACTAATCATTGCCTCTTCTCCGCCAGCACCAGACACGAACCCACACGGACTCCGGAAGTCCGGAAGGCCGACTGAGCCAATTCAATCTTAGCACCTAGAGTCAGCCTCTGCTTCGATCTTCCTTCACATCCTTTACCAAGCCCAAGACGTCTCTGTCACCACTCAATTATTTAAAATAATCACCAAGAAAAGAGGCTTAGCTTGAATAGCGGAAGGTCAGGATTTTTCAAAACCAGCTTGTGGCGTAGTAATAGCGCCTTCGTTAATATTATACTCGCAGAACACCGGATACGTGCTCCTAGCACGATTAAAGTCACTGCCCACAAAGAGCGCAAGCCCCATGTATTGCTGTCACTGCATTTACGGCCAAGAAAAGGTTCACTACATGAAGGATACACGAGCCACCGCGGGCTGCCCCCAGGTGTGAGGGGGCGCGAGGGGGTGCGAGGGGCGGGCGGGCACGCCCAGGGGCCAGTCGGGCCAGTCCGAAGGGCCAGGGAGGGGCCTGGGAAGCGCTAGGGAAGAAGGCGGCCCGACGCGCAGGCCGAGGGCCAGAGGGAGCCCGGCACTCCGGCTGAGGCGGCAGCTCCGGGCCGGGCGCTCCTGCGACCGCGCAGCCGAGAGCGTCCCCACCTCCCACCGCGGAGCCTTCGGGCGCTCAAAACCCAAAACCCAAACGCAGAATGAGGGGGCCATCGTGCTTACCCACCTGCGGGCCTAGTTTGGGGTCCGCGCGCTGCTCAGAAAGGACGTCACCTCACAACGCCCAAAGAGGCTCAGCGAAGTATTCAAATCTAACCGCCCAGCTGCGGCGCACGCGCAAAGGCGCCCTGTGCGTCGCTCCGCCCCCTAGACTCCGCCCCAACCGCCCTCCGGCGACTGCTAGAATCAAGCCTCTTTCCCAGCCTCTGAATGGAGTCTATGTTCTTCAAGTCTGATTCTGCACAGGATTTCTTTTGCTCGTTCTTAGTTCAGATTCTCCACATCACGGGAGCGGCCATCTTCTTTGCAATCGCCCGCTACAGAAATAATCGGAGCTTGGATTCCGTACAAAATGGCGGCTTCCATAGCATTGCGTCATATCCTCTTGGTGTTACTCCGTATAGCTACCAGGGAGGGTGAAGCTTCTGGGACGAGGTGGCCGAGTGGTTAAGGCGATGGACTGCTAATCCATTGTGCTCTGCACGCGTGGGTTCGAATCCCATCCTCGTCGGTAATGTGTTTTTTTTTTTTCAGCAGATTTTTTTTTTAAAAAAATGTATGAACACAAATTTACTTGCGGAGTGAAAAGGAAACAGCTGAATATCTTGGTACTTAATTATCAGTGAAATTGTCCTATTTCAAATAACTGAAATACATCTTTTAGAGCTTCTGACTACACGGTACTGAAAATAAGAGAAAAGAGACATTCTGGGACTCCTAGGCTGGATTTAATCTTTCTTCATATAAACAACAGTGAATGAAATTCCACAGTTATTATCATCCCATAAATTCCAATGTTCACCTGTTCCAGTTTTAAGCAATGAAGCTACTACCAACTAAGGACTTCAATAATTGTACATTTTTTTATTGGTTGTTGCCTGTATTTCTGACATGCCTTTTTTTTTTTTCTTTACTTTTGACAATCTTTACATAGTTGATTAGGGCACAAAGGGTTAAGGGCTACAGCTAAGAGGGTAAAACTATAGTTTCTACATTTTTTCCCCCTGTATCTGGGGTAAAGAGGAAGATAAAGGGAGAAGCACCACTCAGCCTCCCACCCATCCCATGTCCCTGATGTGGGGCATGCTCCAAGGGTCCTGCTCAAGTGGTTTTGATAGTTCACCAGTTCTGAATTGCTGCCAATCTCGCCATTCCAAGCACGATGAAATCACTGCAGGATCCTCTAGTTGACACAGACCTTAGAGTCACCGTTTGCCCAGATTTTCAGTGCCAATACATGCCTGGAGTAGTTGATTGGTTGATTCCTTCCTCCGTCCTCTGTTGTGGTACCAGGTGTCCTCTGCAGGTTCTGATGGATTGCCATATCTTCCATGTGCACTTGGACATGCTGTCCACTGCTCTATCTGAGCCTCTGAGGAGGCTCAGCTTTGACACCTGTACTCCATAGTCAGACCATGGAACCTGCACTTCTCTTCATGGTTGGGGTTCTGAGTCTGGCAGTTCAGTTGGGAAGATTCCCAAAGAAACTTTGTCTGAGGTGATCTCAGACCAAATTCTTGTGTTCTTGCCAGTACAGGATCTGACACAGTCCATTGCCCCCAATCAGCTGGAGGTTGCAATTTTGTTGGTTCTATTTCCAGCCCTGCCTTCCGCTGAAACCAATGGGTGTTGCAGTCCAGCCTGATCCTGCTCACCACACACTTGGCCCTCACAAAAACCAGTGGGAGCTGCAGCCTAGTCAGAGCAACCCACAATAACCCCCACCAGGCCCACCCCTTGCCCTGGTTCCCATGCTTGCCTGTATGTATGCAGATTTGTCTGGTCTATCCCACAGCTATTCTACATGTCTATGGTCATTGAAGCCTAGTTCAACCCAACCAGGCCTACTACCCAGCCACTCACATGCTGGTGGGTGCCTCTCTGTCTAGTCACCACAAAAACCAGTGCTGGCTTTCATGCTCTTCAGTGGGAGCGGTAACCCAAGAGGGAGGTACCCACTATTTCCCTCCTGGGCCCACTCCCACTCCCAGATCATGCACTCTCCAGGTGGTTCTGCAATTTAACTTGACAGAATTTGCCCTCAGTGTCAACATCTGCCAGCTGATGCTATGGCAAAGCCCAACCAACCGTCACCCACTCTGATTTATGCTTGCACCAGTAGGAATAGTCAGCCCAGCCTGGCTCTTTCCTGATCTGGCTCACATGAGGTCCACAGGTGTTGTAGTCCTGCACAGTCTAGTCTGCCCCCATTCCAACTCCAGTGGGCAAGGTGTTCCAGCAGGGGGGCCCTCCACATTCCCCATACCAGCTTTACCCCTTCCCTCCCTGGTTCCTACATGTGCTGGTTGGGTGCTGCAGCCTAGTCTGGCATGGCTTGCCTCACCTCGGCATTTGCCAATGGGTACTGTAGCCTGGCACGGCATGGCCCTCCCCAATTCCAGCTGGTGAGAGTTATAGGCTAGCCCAGCCCGGCATGTACTCTATCCCAGCTGTAACATGCACTGGTATGTGTTGGACCAATCCTGGCCTGAACCTTACTGTTCTGCTGCTTGGATTCGCCAGTGGGTGATATGAACTGGTTCAGCCTGAGCCATCCCTGACCTATGCCAAATGTATGCCAGTGAGTACCTTTCCCTAATAATTGTACATTTCTTATCCTAAGGTTTTGAATACCTATTTTGACCACAAAATGCCGGATTTTATTTCAAGGGCTACCATGAGACAATGTTTAGAATTCTTTTTCCAGCCCTCAGCAGATTACAAATACTTGAGAAATATCTACCTTTGAAACTATTAAAAAGTTGATGATGACATGTAATATTGCCAATACCCTGAAGCCAGACCTGGAAAACCCAGAACACAACTAGCAGAGGAGAGGAAGAGGTTAAACCCATTGGACTTTAACTGGAGGAGTAGAAACTAGAAAATAGCAGCAAGAACCTCAAGCAGATTCACTAGCTCACGCTCCAAAAGCCTCGATCTATTCCGTTATGTACAGGCATACGGATTTTCATCCACCATAACCATATGGTTGTGATAGATACATTTACTACTCCATCCTACAGATGTAAACCCTGAAGGGTAACTCGCTCAGTTACACGGCTTCTGACTCCGCAACACCTGTGCAGATGCCAGCCCACTCCTCTCCCTGACACAGGTCCTGCTGCCCCTTACTGCCTACCTCAGACCTCAGCCCTGTGTGGCTGGATCTCCTGCCGCCTTTGGCCTGTTCCATCCCCGGGTTCTTGGGCCTGTTTGCATGCCTTTGGCCCTCGCAGTGCTCCCACAGCCCTGGGTGCTCTGTAGCTGTTGCCAGGTGCCTGTCAGTGCTGTCATCTGGCTCCTGACTGGGCTGCACCACTCTCCTACATTTGGCAGATCCTTGCAGCGAGGACTTTCCCTAGAAAATGGAGAAGGTGGATTGGAGTGACCATTCAAGAGGGCGGGGTATTTTCACAAAGGAAACTCTTCAGCTGCAGACCTTTGAAAGCAAAACACACTGGAAATAGCCAGAGAAAAAACACAAACAAGTTGAGAGCTGGGAGCTCAGTTCTCTGCTTGCCTTTGTGACTGGTTCTTCACTACCTCCTGTTCTGTAAAAACCGTATTTATTTCCCCGTGTTTCTAAGACAGCAAGAACAACAATGTGGCAGGCAGATAATTGGATCCAAGAGGTGGGTATATACTTAGCAATGGGAAGAGTAAGGCATTAGTGCCTTACTTTACAAGAGTTAAAGGCGCCATCTAGTGGAGTAGCTGCAACAGCCGGACTAGGACAACATCTTTAGATAGAAACGTCTCTGCAAATTCAGCAACCAGTGCCACTCAAAGAAAACTGTCCTCTCCAACAACTGCAGGATGTCCTTTTGTCCCCCACCCCCACAATCCTGAAAGACCACGATGAATAACTGTGGCTCAAATACATCACCAAGATAGCCAGGAAATGAATCTTCAGCCTCTGGAAGAGTGGATCCATTGTTTTTTTTTTTTTGCTTTTTTTTTGTTTTTGTTTTTTAAAGCTGCTTTTAGATGACATGATTCTGAAAGGAAGAATTAAAATCAAGGTTTTGTCATTGTCATGGTGGTGCCTGCAGGGTATCTACTGAATGTCACAAGAAAAAAACAAAAATAAACGCTGGGATCTCGGATCTGAGGGGCAGGCAGTGACGGAAGTGTTCAGCTGCTGTGCTCCCTTTAGGAAGTCTGTTCCCACTGGGGAGCCATTGCCGGAAAAGCTGCAAGGCTGGAGAAGCCCACGATGAACCCAAGGTTTTTTGGGTTTTGTTGTTGTTGTTGTTGTTGTTGAGTCTAACAGCAACTCAAGCCCTTTTTTCTTTGCCCAAATCATTCCCCGAACTGTACGCTGCCAGATGAAAATATCCATCTTACTATGACAGCTTCCTTGCATGTCCCCCTGAGCCGAAAACTCAGTAGCTTTCTTGTATTGAAGATCAGTAGAGCAAAAACTGAAATCCAGTTATATACCCTTGGTTAGGAAAACCACGAGGAATACGTGGACACAAAAAACTAGCCCGCACTGAGATGGCCATGGGTACTTGGCAAACAAGCACCAGCTACACCTGGCCCTCTCCTTGAGCTCCCAGCGGTCCTCCAGGCTGAGCCCAATCCAGCTCCATCGGGGTGAAGCCACTCCTGCCCTGCAGCTGCGACTGCTGACTGCATGCAGTTCTAAATGGAAGGCATCAGCCAGCCTTATGACTGTGATCTCACAGGGTAGTTCTCCACAGTTCTCTTTGGGCCAAATAAAAACTCACAGACTCTGAGCACTTTGTTCCTTCTTGAAGATCCTTTCTCAAATACACTTACCTGAGTGTGCTGACTTACGTCTATTCATTCTAGGTCAGACTCCTTCAGTAAATGTTTTGTGCAGTTACTGATGGACCAATTAAAGTACCATGTGTTCTGAACTATGATAGCACACATAATCACAGTGGGTCGTTAAAAAAAAAAAAAAGACCTAGTTACAGCTTCGCGTGGTGGCAGTATTGTAGCCAATGATATTGTTCATGCAAGGCAAAATTATTGCTCATTGAAAACTTTTCCCAAAGAAGATGTAGTTGGGGCCAATGTTGTGGTACAATAGGTTAAGCCTCCTGCATCCCCT